GGGGGGGGGGGGGGGGGGGAGTGAGGAGAGAGTTACTGATACTTTAGTAGCTGGTGCACCGTGAATTAATAATGACTAATGAGAAACGGCGATGAGAGGAGAGAAGTACACAGTAGTGAAGAGATTGTTTGGTGTAGTAGTAAAGTAAATGACAAACGGGCCCAGATGGCTCTATTCCCCATGATTCTCGTGAGTGCTCTTACATATACGTGTATATGAAACTTATATACGTATATATACGCCCTTTGGGTTTTACAGTGTTATATCGGTACCCTCTCGTACACCATACAGCCATGCACAAGGGGGAGGAGAGGGCAGGCGAAGAAAAAAAGCGGGGGGATAGAGACGAAAGGGAAAAAAAAAGAGGGGCATATAGAGGCACACTTGACAGCTAAGGCCATACCACTGCGGTCTCCTTCGACACAAAGGCATGGAACGGGGGCTCTAGTGGATCCTTTATGAGTATAAATTTTTTTCTCGATGAAAATTTTCACGTTTTCATGCGATATACTTCAAAGGAGAAATCAAGAGATGGCAAATAAAAATATTTTTCTTTGAATATGCAAATGAATGAAATGAATGAAAAAAAAAGGAAAAACGCGAGCGTTGAACGTCGGTTCCTTCCCTTTTCCACTCGTTTTTTCTCTCAATCCTCAACTTCATCAAAGGAATGTGCATTTCCCTGCACTAACACCACGTTATATTAAAAACCTTCGGCATTGTGACACTATTATTCGCTAATGTGGACAAAGAAATGACGTCACGGATGCACGTAGAAAATAGGCGATGGTACAGTGGGATTTAATTGTTTACCTTCTCGGTTTGGAAATTGTGGGTAAATTGTCGATGAACAATGTATCACGGCACATCTTGATTCATCATGGTTGCACGCGCACTACGGTCAATCCCGTACCCGATGTTACACTCACGAGTAATCCTGTGGTTTTCAAGCGTTGCTGGGATATTATACCTTTAGGGACTATTTTGTCCAGGGGCCACTCTTTATTATTTTTCACCACTAGTTTTTTTCACATATTCATTTACAAGCACTGGTTAACACACAACTTGTCACGATATTGTTTAGTTCTTTATCTTTTGGTTAGTTGTGCAGAGGTGTGTGCACGAACGTTAGTTTGATTATTCGTCAATTGACAATAATAGTAAGCGGGGTTTACGGAGTCGGCCGCCATTAAAATTCGACGGACGACGGACACGGGCACGAGCTGTGTGCTGTGTGTGCATGGGGGTTGATTGGTTGGTTCGAGGCACCACGGCGTGCGCTACACTCCTCGGCTCATCTCTCTTTCTCCCCCTCCCCCGGCCCGACAACATTTTCGTACTTCTGTCTCTTGCCCGCTGGGGAAGCCCGCGATATCGCTGTCACGGTCGCACCAACTGCTTGCAATGGGGCACCGGTTGTCGCGGCTTAGGCTGTCTCAGTCCCACCACTGGTGGAGCATCCCCGCCCACAGACTCCACGCGACGATTTGCTCCCTTTTGCCCACATTCCCTTCCCTTTTCGATTCCGCGGAGAGAGGAGAGAGAGAGCGTCGCTGCAGGCTGGCCACTTGAGGCAAGCGCCCTCTGACCCTGGTGACCTTTATCACTAGATTAAAATTAAAATCCCTACGTTTTGAATTTTTTTGTAATCGTTCAAGCGAGGGGGGCTGGTCACTTACACTGATAGAACGGATTAGTTATTGTTAACGAATGGATTTTGGGTAGAGGTTTGGTGTATTCGGTCCCACCAAATGTTCATTTGAGGAACCTTGTTTGACTTGACTTTCGCCATTCAAGTGAACCATTCGTTAACTATTAACGAATATTCATTTGGTCATATTCAACTCTACCATTCGTTAATAGTTAACAAATCTCGTTTGGAATAAATGAATCATTCTATCAGTGTAGGAAATTACTGGACTATTCGACTGGAAATCAAGGAAGAAATCAGCAGAAATCAATGGACATCACTGGAAATCAAGTGATTTCCATTTTCGGTAGTGGTTTCTAAAGATTTCTGGAAATCATCGGAAATCAGTAGAAATCATAAAGAAGTCAGGTGATTTACGAAATCATTAGAAATCATCGATAAGCTAAAATCGAAATTGATTTCGCAGTTTTAAATCGACAATTTTTGTGATGGTATTGGTGCGTTCGAAATCACCCAATCCCGAAATGCAACGCTATGAAGTTTTTGATATCCTTGCGTATTGTAACGGCATGTAGAAAACTGCCATTATCGACAGCAGCTCCCTGGAGCTGCTCTGCCTCTGGTCCCGAAATCATGATTTCTCCAGTGATCCTATTTACTAAAGATAAAAGAAACGTGAAGTTGTTTTATATCGCAATATCTCGAAATTGCCTGACCGCTAATCCTTAATTCTGATTGGTCATAATGTTACACGAGAAGTTATTCACAAAAAAAAAACACGCGGCATTTTCAAATTCTTCAGTGACATAATTTCAAATTCTTCAGTGGTAATTTTGTTTTCACGTCATATATATATATATTTATGGCCTTTTTATGGAGACCTATTATTTAAAAAAATTGAAGATTATCAATTGAAAATGAAAAATTCTTTATAGAGTCTTTTACTCTACTTCGCTATTCACTTCAATCATTAGTCGAATTCTCTTTGATTCATTATCAATATTTATAAGGTATTCATGAGAAAATGAAATTTAATGAATTCCATTTCTTCATTTCAACAAATGAATAGATTAGCGCGCGCATAGATCTTGTAGTATAGTATAGAATATAATATAGTATTATCGTAATATCTTTAATGTATGTTATCATCATTTATAAAATCATCATTTATTAAAATCCTAGTGACACAATACGCCGAATAGATTGGCTTCAAAAAACGTTACACTCTTTGATTTTTTAATAAAGGATTATAGGTCCTAATGAGAATTAGCCCTGTGTAAAATTTCAGCTCGATCGACCTAATATTTTTTTTAGAAAAAACGATTCGTTTTTAAATCGTTTTCGATATCTGCTTATTTTATGAAGTTTTTGACGAATTTTTTCAATTGAACGATTGTTTTCGCCAAAAATCTTGTTACAATTTTATAGTTAATTTCTAACTATCAGTTATTTTATTTACACACCTGTTAAAAACTGAAGCAAAAGCATTTTGTTGATTATTCTTGATTATTGTTGTCGCGACTGTCTCTTTTAACAAAAGTGTTCTGTTGGTTTTTCTTAGTCTTCAATAGATAACGAGTGGAAAAACGTAGGTAGTTGTGCTGTCCTGGATTATCGAAAGACTCTATCAATAATTCGTCGCTTTTTCATGGCGTTGATTTGCGTGAATTTTTTATGAAGATAGAGATCTGGGTTACTTTGCAGATGGGAAATTTATTGCTACAGAGAAATTCATTAGTCTTCAATATATAACAAAAGGGAAATCGTTAGTGGTTCCGCAGTCCTGAAATATCGAAAGATTATCAATAATTCGGCATTGTCCATCACCTTGATTTACCTGAATTTTTGATCAAGATCTCACTGGGTGACTCTGCAGTCTGGTAATTCCTTCAAATTTTCAATATTTAAAAATTACATTTTTTACAACTTTAAATTGATGCAGTGATTGGTGAATTTGTGAATTGAATGATTATATTCATCATAAATCTTGCTACAATTTGATACACTGAGAGAAACATTTCCTAACATGCACTGAGAAAAAAAATTTCTAAGAAATAGAATCTCTATGATTGATCCAAATCGTTCATCGATTGAATAGTCGTAAAAGAAAATGCTATTGTAAGACACAAATATCGATTCAATTTTAAGGTTTTCGATTGAAAAAGAATGAGATCAATTATTTAAACTTTTTTTTTGTTACTTTGCATACATACAAATCAATGTCTGTATTATCAGATATCTTCTTCGAATAAAGTATGTAATTATCCAATTTATCAACGTCACGATATCCCGCAAAAGAATATCTGTTCGATTGAAAGCAGAATTCATAGATGCAATAAAATATTCATTTGGTCTATGAGGAACATATTGTTGGATACTCACTGATGCGAGACTTTCGCGGTGAGCAGTTTCTTGTTTACGACAAACGCAATTCTTCATCATTTGAACGGATTATTTTTCCATTGCAATTGTGAAAAAAAATTATTTGCGCCAAATCCGAAGCGTTTGAACTAAACCAAAATTGAATTGTATGAAATCGATTTTGTCGCAGAAACATGTATTTTCTAAATTCGATAGAATAAACAAAATATACTATACTATAACAAAATCGATTTCATACAATCCAATTTTGGTTTAGTTCAAATCGATATTTGTGTCTTACAATAGCATTTTCTTTTGCGACTATTCAATCGATGAACGATTTGGATCAATCATAGAATTTCTATTCCTTAGAAAATTTTTTTCTCAGTGTGTGAACCATATTTATTTGAGAGAAGAAAATTATTTTCAGTGGCTTAAATCTCAGAATGTGTGCGCTTCACGGAACTCGAAGAAAATCTCATTTATCACTTTCGTTTCGCGTTACATGATGAATTATCTATGGAAACATTGGAAGCGCATAACAAAAAAATCCTGAAAACAATAAATACTTGAAGATTGACGATTTTTCTACGCAATTTGAGTAAATTCACTTCAGACGAAATCATACTTGAGTAAGAGAATATTTTGAAGCGTGCACTGTTAAAAATTTCTTGAAATTTCAATCACAGCAACATCTGAATTTTCAATGTTGTGAATTTGAATTCAATTTCAAATGAAAGCGCTCACATTTCTCATTCGTTTCCGAAATTCAAGAAAATTGGGTTTTTCATGTAACACAATCATCGATTTTTCAATAAAAGCGTGAATTTTCAAACTCATCGTGAAAATTGAACATCACATACAATTCAATTTTCAATAGAATCCGAATTCCGAAAAATTGTTGCCTGAATTTTCAAAATTTTCAATGTTTTTCAGCGCCGTATGGACTTGAAAATCGAGAATTACTTGAATACTCAAAAAGATAACTGATTCGTTAAGGAAAAAATATACAGAAATTTCATGTAACTTTGTCGTTGTTAAAAATTTCAAGCTTTTTCACTTGAAATTTCAAGAGTAACGTTTTAACTGTGTGAGACTTTTGTCGGGCCACCCAAGTTTAGATGCCTGGAAGAATTAAGCGATTGAAGAAAAATTACTTGTCTCGATGAAATATTTCAGCTATTAGATCTTTTTTCTCTGTGTAATTTATTTGTAAATATCCATTATTTACACCTATACTAAAGAATGAAAAGAATTTTTTAGTTTATTTACTACTAATGATTATTATAGTTACTCTTGTTTTTTGCAAAAGGATTTTCTTGGTTTTGTCACTTTTTTCGCTGCAGGAGAATTCTTTAGCCTTCAAAATATAACAAATGGGGAATTGTTGGTGATTCCGCAATCCTGGACTATCAATAATTCGTCGCTTTGCCATCTTCTTCATTCATTTAAATCTCGTATCAAGATAGAGATTTTATAATTTTCAATATTTAAGGAATAAATTTTTTTTAACTATAAATTGATGCAGTGATTGATGAATTTGTGAACTGAATGATTATTTTCATCAAAAATCTTATTACAATTCGATAGTTTATTTGTAAATATCTGTTATTTACACAGATACTAACAAATGAAAAGAATTATTCATTATTTTATTTACTACTTTTGATTATTGTAGTTACTCCTGTTTTTTTTAGCGCAAGGGTTCTCTTGGTTTCATTTTTTTGCTGCAGGGAAATTCTTTAGTCTTCAATATATAACAAACAGGGAATCGTTGGTGGTTCCGCAGTCCTGGACTATCAATAACCCATCGCTTTTCCATCTCCCTAATTCACCTAAACCTCCTATCAAGACAGAGATTTTTTAATTTTCAACATTTAAGGATTGAATATTTTTTCAACTACAAATCGATGCAGTGAATGATGAATTTGTGAATTGAATGATTAATTTCATCAAAGATCTTGTTACAATTTGATAGTTTATTTGTAAATATCCGTTATTTACACACATACTAAAAAATGAAAAGAATTATTTTATTTACTATTCTTGATTATTGTAGCTGCTCCTGTTTTTTCTGCCAAAGTCTTTTCTCGATTTTATCATTTCTTTGCTGCAGGGGAATTCTTTAGTCTTCAATATACAACAAACGGGAAATCGTTGGTGGTTCGGCAGTCCTGGACTATCAATAATTCGTCACTTTTCCATCTCCTTGATTTACCTAAATTTTCTACCAAGACAGAGAACTCACCGGTCAACTCTGCAGTCTGGTAATTTCTCCAAATTTTCAACGAGGAAAGGAGAAGGTTCCTATGATCATGGTAATATTCATAGGGGAAAAGAAACATTCATGAACAACTAATTCCTCAAAAGAAAAACTCATCGCTATATATTTCTATATAAGCCAAACTTAGTCTATCCAGATAATCCATAATTCGAAATATCCAATTTTTGTTTCTTATATAGAAATACATTCTTTTTTATTTAATCAAGTTCCTTAAGTTTTTACGCACGGCAGGAATTCATCGTCCTACCGATAATCATTTTTGTCACTTTTTTTTTTAACAGCGCAGAGGAAGGCTTCCAAACACCACTGGGTTTACATTTTTTTACACAATATAAAAAAAAGAGAATCAAACGAGGTGTTTCAAAAAATTCATCATCGTCTACAGATGTATTTTACAAGCGTACTCGATTGTAATTCCCATCCAATCATTAGCATTTCAATAATAGGCCCTTGTATCGACATCAACAGATTAAAAATTGACAAAAAAAGTAAAAAAAAAGTTCATTATTGCGTTTTTCTCATCTGTTCCATTTTATTGTAAAAATTATCTCTTTTACTCCGTCATTTGCTTTCAGTTGTGCTGTTAAGATTGGAATTATTTTGAAAAAAGAAAGCAGCAATCAATCACAACACACTACAATAAACGTCTTTTTCCTTTTTCCAAACACTATTCCTCCGAAAAACTGTGAGAGACATTTTCTTTTATCCATTAAAAAAAATCTCTTGTGTGCTTGACCATTAGTTCCTCATACCAAAGTTGAAACAAGAAGGGAAAAAAGTTTTCGTTAAAAGGAACAAAAAGAATAATTGCATTCATCGTTTTTTTTTTCACATACACTCTGGCTCTATCTCACGTTCGCACGTTCCTCGTTCACTCCAATTTTTTTTCACCTGCTTGTCTTTTTCGTTATTGTAGACAACTACCTGTGGGTGGGTCTACAAACAAATAACGTTATACCAGCATGAATTTTTCTTTGTCTTTCGTAGTAAATATGTTTACTTGGTTTTTCCTGTCGTCATTAGACTCTCACTCTACCTATCGTGTCTCTCGTTTCTCTGGTATTCGTAATATGCTGCCCTGGCTCAGTAGTTTTAATATTTTTTTTCTGTTTTCGTACATCTGGGTTTTTTTAAATGTCAAGTACGTATACAGTTATGTGTATGGATTAAGTGTTATGTCGTGTATTATGCATCAATGAATGTCTGTGTCATACGCGACTTGTTGGCAACTGTAGGTTTAAAATAGCAAGGAGTACGAGTAAAGATAGTGATTACGATGGTTTTTGTTATTTTACTTTTTTTCAAAAATGTCGATGATTGTGTTGTTACGATGGCTCATGGTAAAATATGGTTGGGAGTAATTTGTTTTGCTGTTGTTTTTTTTCTAATTAATTTTTCTTTCGCTTCTTCCATGGGGATTGAAGGAAGTGTGTTGCTTAGATAGAGATGAGATCTTAACCCAGGGAGGGAAAGTCGTGCTCGTCGTCAACCTTGGGGGCGTTCTGACGTCCACGTGGAGATCTTTGCTCCACCACGGGGCCAGCGACCTTGATTGCAGCTGCTGGAGGCTCCTAAAACGATAAAATCGAGAATAGGAAATATTAGAAATTAAGTTGGATGGAGTAGAGTGGAAAATGAGATAAAACAGAAGAGAACAGAACGAGTCAATTCCTCAAATTGTTTAAAGTAGTATTTTACTACTAAACGTTTGACACTGACGATAATTTTCATATTGGGCATGGGATTTTCATTTTTTTTATTGTAGAAATTTTTTCTAGGTTTTAATCTTCTCCCCAACCTCGGGAAGTTCATTTTGTCAGAAGACTCTGTGGTATTTTTGCACTTGCAGATCAATTCATTAGCGAAACCATAAAACGGTCCAAGTAGATTTTGATTATTGGCCAGTCTTCAATAAATATCTGGGAATTTAAGGGAGAATATTTTTGTTATGACCTTTCTAGTAGCTCTCAATCCGCTCTTGAAGAAAGGTTTTTATAGAAATTTTGTTATCGTCTTTAAATTTGAAGATATTCCTCGAAAACTCAGCTAAAGGCTAAATCTACTTAAACCGTTTTACCACTTCGCTACTGAATTCTTATTAATAGTACTAAACAGATTTTTTTTCTTCATATTTATGTTCGTTTAGAATTTATTTCAGATTTCAAACTTCAAAATCCAAGTTATGTTTATGCTACTTTGAAAGAAGAGCTGTTGCTCTCATTTTTCTCTAGGAAAAAAACAAAAAAAGTCTTCAAGAAAATTTAGTTGCGGTTCTCCGTTTTTGCAATATTTTCCGAAAATTGAATCATTTATTTATTTGTTATCAATTAAATCAACCTTTTTAAATCACCAATACCTCACAATCAAATGATTCGATTCAGATGAATCAAGTCTCATTTTGAAGCTTCAAAAAATACCTTTAAAATCTGTCGTGAATTGGTCAACTAGGATAAGTGCATTTTTTTTTTCGAAATGATTTTTTTCACCAAATCGCTTCAACAATTTGTTGGGAAGCAATTTAACAAAAAAAATGCATTTCCGGAAAAATGCACTTATCCTAGTTTACCAAATTCACCACCGAAATGTAAAGAAAAAAACGTTAAATTTGACTAGGTCGATCTCAAGTTCCCCCCCTCCACAATGAGAAAAGTTTCTACTCTCCAGTAAAAATCGTATAAAATATAAAGTCTATCGAGCAAAACATCCTAAAAATAAGTAAAAAGTTCGCTTTTCCTAAATAGACTGAAAAAAGTTCTCATTCTCAATTATTTTTACTCAAATCTAGAATAATTGTACTTGAACTATTGGAGATTATTTTTATCCTTGAATTGATGATTTTTCCTGTTCTAGAATTGATCTACTCAAATTTCGAGTATCTTCTAAAATATTTTTGAAATTAAGAATTCTATCTCAGCGTAATTTATAAATACTTTGTTTTTAAAAGTAGTCACCTGACACTTTAATTCACTTAATGTTCAATTATTTCAGAGTCTTACCACTTTAAAATGTTTTCAATTTAAGAAATCAAGAATTTTACATACTTGAACTGAGCTTTTTGATACTGAATTTAAAAGATTTCTCTTCTGAAACCAAGTAACTAGTTTTGTATTGTCAGGACAACTCATGGCACAAACACAGGTTTCTTAAGGGGGAACGGAACCCCTGCGTTTATATGAATCTTTAGAATTGTGTTTTCTCCTGCGATTATTATTTTTCATTCATTAAACTACTTCATTGACTCAACAATGCGATAATCGAGTCGATAAAGTAATTTCATAGATAAAAATTAATAATTGTAGGAGAAAACACAATTCTAAGATGTGATGTAGACAAAGGGGTTCCGTCTCCCCTTAAAATCAATAATTTTCTCCTAGAAACTTCTATTTCTACATGACCCCAAACAAAAATTGAAAAATTGACTCATTAAAATTCAACTGCATAAAAAAACGGAAAAAATTGTTTCATTTACCACAGAGACACTTACGACAGGAGCACGTGGCTCAGCAGCTGGGCCACCCTCCCTAGGAGGGCCACCGCGATTGCCACCGAAGCCACGTCCATTCTGACGATCCCCACGTTGTCCACGTCCTCCGCGTCCCCCACGACCACTTCCTCCACGTCGTGAATCAGTAAACTGTATCTCAATATCATAAACGCGTTTCTGTCTGCCAACACGCTGTGGGTACTCCACAGCAGCATCATAATCCTCCTCCTCCTCGTCCTCCTCCTCGGCGCCCTCCTTCTTCTTCTCGAGAGCGTACATCTTCTTCCAACGAGTCAAGTCCTCACCCTCACCAGCCTTACGTAGATTGTAAGTTGGCTTGGCACGTGCACCACGGAGAGCCTTCCATTCGTCAAATGTCAATTCCTTGGCCTCTTCCTCAGCTGGCTTCTCCTCGGCGGAGGCGTCAGCTGCTGGTGTCTCACCGTCTTTCAGTTCGGAGGAGATGTTGGGGTTTTCAGCGTCGGGTTTGTCAGTGTTCCAGTCCTGGTGATCGTTGTTGAGGCTTTCCCTGGGACAATTATGAAAATAATATATGTTAATTAATGTGAATCAACGAATTGTCCTTGGGAATGAATTCATTCATCAATTTATGGAGATATTCAATCTACTGATTTAAGGTAAATGACCCTACGCTCGTCTAGCTAAGGTGAACACATCATTAGTCCAATATTTCTATCGAAATGAGCGTGAAGATGCGATGATTTAAATTACATATCAGGGGGTAAAACCTTCAGAATTGAAATTTATTTATATTAATTATGATAATTACTAGTTTGTAATAAATAATCGTCCATGGATGTGAAAAGTCCCATGTCCCTACGCTCGTTCATTTGTCCCCATGCTCGTTTGACACATGTCCCTATCCTCGTCTCGTGATTTGAGTGATATGGAAAGGTTATATTCGAACTAATTACATCGTGAGTATCCTATTTTGTGATAAAACAACATTAAAAAATATCTCGATGCACAAAATTATATTTCCATTGGACAGTCCAACCTTTTAAATGATTGTTTCATCCGTTTAGTCCGTTACCAGTTGACAGTTGGGTGCAAAACGAGCGTAGGATCAATGCCATTTTCATTCTACCTATTCTTTTAATTGGCATTATTAAATTTTCAACTATTCGAAACCTTAGTCAAGGGATGTTTAATTCCATTTTACTATTGTAACCGAGATATCAACGTTTTAAAATTGCGAGTTTTTTAACTTGTGGCTTAAGAATTAACTCTGTCGTAGCACGAGTTGATGTGAACGTGATTTTTCTCTCTTATTATTCAATAAATCACTCTGCATTGGTGTCTATAACTTTTCTTATTGACTAAAATAATAACTCCAATCGTACTTCACTCTTAATAGACTCTTGGGACTATCAAGATGATTGAAATGTCATGGCTGGCAGGATCTGAACGAGCGTTGGGACAAAGACGGGCATAGGTACACTTACTTTACTTATTTTTCTCGACTTATTTGAATACGACAGTGCTAGCCATAAAGTGACTTGTAACGCATAAAATTTCATATTGTGGACAAAATGATAAATAATTGGAATTGTTACATTTTTTTTTGTGGAGATGTGAAGTATTCCATTTCAAATGAGTTAATGATCCTCATAATTTCGAAAGTATTTTTGGTAAAATTGAAGGGCTTAAGAAACCCTTGCCTTTTTTTTGTTTCCTCCTGTTTTTTTGCATAATTCACATCTGAATCAAAACGTCGATTTTACAGCCATTAAAATTTTTAGTTTTCGGTTCTGAATGGAGGCATTGTCAGGGTAACTAATTTTGCCTCACGAGTTCGAATATGCTTTTTTTTAAGATCATGTCCAGATGTATCTATGTGTGTATTTGACTGATTGTTATACAACTATAACTGAAAAAATAATTGTTGAAATGAATCCAATTGTAATTCTCCCCAATCCTAAAGAAAAATAAAAAAATTTCACGTTGGGGTAATATTGGATTCAATGAATTGTTGAATTTAATTTAAAATACATCGTCATAGAAATTCCATTCGGAAGCAAATTGTTAATTTATTAGCAAAAATATAATATATGTTATAGTAAATATTATTCACTATGCTGTTATAAAAGCAATTTTCCACTTGCTTTAGCACTTTTCTAGACAAACAGAGGTCTTTTTTACAATACCTGAACGTATAATGAAGAATGAGTTTCATGAGAGATTATTTTAAAACTCAGATTGTACCTACTACGTCAGAATAATTTGAGAGGTAAGCAAAACCATGAATCTATTTTATTTTGATACTTTTCCTTCAAAATTGCTCAATTCCCGTTAAGAATATTTGGAATATCTGTAGATAATATTGATGAGACACTCGACAAATATCTTAAACAGTGGAACAAACCATTTTCAGTCTCCAAAAAAATGCAGATTGATTTTTATTCTCATTACTTCAAATCATTTCCTTGAATTGTTTGTGGTTTTCTCTCGCAAATAAAAAAAAATAATTCAATGTTTGAATGTATGAATAATAAAACTGTTATTAAAATGAATTTTTAAAAATTAATCATTGATAAATTTACTCCAATAAACCTTTAAGTAGTCGTGTCCAATGCCAAAGAATGAAAATGTCAATTCATCCAAAATTTCAGTGACGAATGAAACAAAAAAAAAATACTTACTCAATTTCATCATTGTGGGTTCCCCAGTTGTGGCTGCCAGCGCCATCTTTCTTGTCAACTGGTTTCACCCCGCTGTAATTATGCCTGTTATCATTAACAATACACGAAAGATATTACCCTCTTTAAGACAACGACTGATCACAAAAATAGACGAAACATATAAATCATGCAGAAGAGCCGAAAGACTCTTACCTTGTTTGCCTGCTTGCAAACATAGGCACAAAGGAATAAATTTGTTAATTAGTACTATTTCTAAATTAATGTTAATTTGTTATTATTTTGCTAACGATAACTACTCGATGGAGGGGATAGTGAACCTACGTTTTGTCAGAGCCTGATTGACGATCGAATTCACGTTTTCCTCGGCTATCGAAACCGGAACGTGCACCTCGTGGGCCGCCTCGGCTGCCACCACGTGGGCCACCACTGCCAGCTCCGCGTGGGCCGCCGCTGCGGGGACCACGACGATCGCCAAATTCGCCGCGTGGACCATCGCCGGACTCACGATTGCGGAATTCTCGATTGTCTCGGCCTTCGCTATAAGGAGGAGGAAAAAAATTATAACCTTCGATTAACTAATTTATTATATTGTGAGGATTTTTTATGGGCCTGTTGCACCCAGCCCAGTTATGATTCTAAAATGATTGGTACTCTAGAGTTAAATAAAGCTTAAATGGAAGCCCTGATTTAACTACAAATGTTAAAGATAATTTCAACGAAGAGCTGAAAGTTCTTGGATATTCTCACTAATCAAATGAAGAGTAGAAAAACAAAAATCAACAATTTTGATTGATTGTTCAATAATCTCGGTAACAACTGATTTCAGGGGAAAATGTCCAGACTTTTTATTTCAGAAATTCTAATGTCTCTTGACATATTGACCTAATCTTAATTGCCTTAATCGTTGTCAAAAATCTTGACTCAAGACGAACCAGTGAGGTGAGAAATAGATTTTTAAGTTTTACAAAACTTGTATTTCATGACAGTATATATGTAATGTAAATATGTACTACTGGAATGTGGAATAAAAATGTTTCGACCGTTTCTCAATCTCAAAGACCATCTCTTGAATATCAAGTGCGGAGATGCTCTGATAGCAACCTAAATTTAAGAACTGCGCAGTAAAAAAAAAAATACTGGAGCTGAAGAAAATAATAATTGAGCTCTGAGAAAACATTTGTCTATATTTTCGCTGTATCTCTTAGAATGAAAAACGAATGTTATCATCGCCCATAAATATTTCAGATTTTAAAAGACGTGGAAACTATTCTTTCACTTTCGTTTTTGACTATTAAATATAGATAAAAGACAAGTCCAAAACTTCTCTTCTCATTCATTACAATGAAAATTTTTTAATTCTATGGAATGAATAATCCAGTAATTTCAAATAAATCACTTAGTGGAAAAAAATAAAAGATTTATTTCATCCAAACCATGATTTCCTTTGTAACTAAAATCTTTATGTCGTTCAAGAAAACATTAGTTCATATTTTTTGAAATATTTATTTGATGTGAACAAAAAAGCAAATGAAAAACGAATTGAAGCCCGAATAAAAGCTTCATTATGAGCAATTTACGTAAACCCATTGACTTTCCCAAGTAATCGTCTCGAATTTATTGAATACATGTGCCTCGATGATTGGGTAACAGCAGCTCGGCCGATCGATCCGATAATTCACCAGTATTATAAAAAAACTCTTGGGAAAGCCTTTTAAACACGCAATAAACTATTTTCGTCTCACAAAAGGTGATTCCCAAAGCTCATAAAAATACCAGAACCAAAGATGCAACAACAACTTCAGCATCCCCCACCGATAAATTTCCACGAAGTCACCCCTAAAGTAGTATGAATAAATTCCAGTTGGGTCGTTAAGTGTAAAGAGGAAAAATAAACTAAAAAAAACCCACAAAAAATCATTCATCACCAATAATTTTTCCAAACAATGATCTCTCGTTTGGCAAGGGTGGTATAAATTATTTATTAGAAAAGCCTGATACTAACAATGATTTTCATATTGGGTATGGAATTTTCGTTTACTTTTTCTGATTTTTCGAGATTAAAGTTCATTTTCTCATAAGACTCTGGGTTATTTTTTCATTGCTGCATTAATTATTATTATTAATAATACCCGACTACCGATTGAGAACAAACTCGACAAGAATTTTTGGATTCATATGAACTTTCGTTTGGAATTAATTTCCAATTTTAATCTTCGAAATTCAAGTTATGTTTATGCTACTTCAACTTTAATGAATGTGAGAAATAAATCCATCAAATTCTTTCTTCAATTATTTTTCTAAAGAATGGTCTCTCGTTTGGCAAGGGTGGTATAAATTATTTATTAGAAAAGCCTGACACTAACAATAATTTTCATATTTGGGCATACAATTTTCATTTACTTTTTCTGATTTTTCGAGATTAAAGTTCATTTTCTCATAAGACTACGTTATTTTTGCACTTCTATATTAATTATTATCAGTAATACTGGGCTACCGATTGAACACACTCTCAACCATAACATTTCCATTCACATGGTTGCGCATTAGCCCTTTTCCTCCCTCACAACCACCTTCACGTACGATCGTTTCTTTCTTCCTCATTATTCGTTTCTCTTGATTCCTATTCCTCGGACGTGTCATTTCTTTTTATATTTTTTTTGTATTTATTTCAACCCAAATCTTTAATAAATTATTATTCATTTGTTAAATTTACCCATTCTTTACAATATTAACTTTCATTTAGAATTTATCTCAGATCTATACTTCATAACTAAGCATTTTATTACGTAAAGTTATAACCCCTTGTATTATGATTAATTGCATTCGGAAAATGCAATAAACTATTGATTAATTAATTAATTAATTGATTGATTGATATATCAAATTTCAATCTTCAAAACTCAAGTTATATTCAAACTACTTCAACACTCAAAACCAAAAATATAAAAAAAATTACCCAGAAGGAGGTCCTCTTCTCATATCACCACCGTGACCACGGGGAGGTCTGTCGCCATCCTCACGATTGCGCCTGTTGTTGTACTCTTCCCGCGATTCTCCGGAGAACTTGACGTTGCGATCGTTGCCACTGGATCGCGGCTGCGAGGGCTTCTTCTCCACTATTCGAAAAACAGAAAAAACCCATGATATTTTTACTTCCATTGCTCCTCATGCCTTTATCATCGCAAGTAACACGACACACGTATTTTTGTCGTCTCCCCCATAGCCGAGATATTGCCCACGACACACTTCAACACCGATACAGCCTTTTTCTGAGACAACTACCTAATGGACATAATGGAGTCTCTTTATTTTTTGAGGCGCTTTTTATTTTTGATGTTTTCTATCGAGACTTTGTTTTCAGGAATTGTAACCCGTACTTTTTCATTACACGATATACATGTTGAATTCTGTTGAATTGAGCGCCTTTTCCTTCATGTGGGTAACTCATTAGGTTCTACGTAGGGACAGGTCTCGAGTCTGCGTGAGAAAACCTTCATAATATTTTTGTTACCAGGTGTGCACAAAGATGTAACGTTTTACTCCGAATTACTCAAGTCATTTTAATTAATCTTCCGAGCAGTTTTTAATCAACACTGTGTACTAATTTAGTAGTGAAGTGGTCAAATGGTTTAAGTCAATTCCATTCTAGCGCCAGGTCTCGATGAATATCTCAAATTCAAAAGGAGTTAGCAAAATTTTCCCAGAAATCTTTTTTGTAAAGACAAGTGAAGGCTATCGAAAAACATTTTACAAAAATTTTGCTGTCTTTCTTAAATTCCGAGTTATTCAACAAAAACTCACATGGGACTTAAGGCCCGGGTGTACTCTCTTTCGAACGTTATCTCGATGTTTTTTTTTCATCTTTCCTCATCTGAAATTGTCAATTGAGTCCTGCATCATACAGAAGTTTTGAAAAATTATGAATGAATAATTTTAAAAAAGTAGAAGAAATTCTTAATTTTTTTAAAGAGCATTTTTAATTTATATTTAGAATAAGTTGAATAACAAGAAATTGAAAAATTTATCTGATTTACGGCGACAAATGGCGGCCTGTCACCCAATATCATGCAGGGGGAAGACTGATTTCGTAAATCTTTTCCCATACCTAGCTGTCACTTCCCATGAGGAGTTAGTGTTTTGTTATCCACCATGGAAAATGACAGCTAATAGATAATTTGCCACAGCGAATCAGATATTTGTAATTTCCACTTTTTTCAACTCATTCTGAATCTCAATTAAAAACACTTTGAAAAAGTTCAGAATTTTTTCTATTTTTTTTTTATCATTCTATCATAATTGTTGGGAATTTCTACTACTCAATTGACAATTTTGGATTACGAAAGATAAAAAAAAATCCAGATAACATTCGAAAGATAGTACACCCGGGCCGTAAGTCGACTTAAACCGATTGACCACTTCACTACAATGAGAGAGAAACAAACACGTTGTCAAACAAGTCTTGTTTGGGCCAACAAAATCGCTAGTTGAAAATTTCAAAAAAAAAATTTGTTTGGTTCGAATTTGAAAGTCTCACACATGAATAATTGTTCTGCTTTCGAAAGCAACGAAATATTTGGCTCAAGAAGTGGATAATTCACACCAGACGGTGCCTTTTCAGGATGAAAATATCTCATATAGAGGAAAATATATCAACAAATATTTTATTCTTAAATTACAAGATTGCTATCATATCATTATTATTGTTTCATTCAAGGGTTCATTTCTTGTCCGTGATTATCAGACAGCCATAAAACAAAGATTTTTCGGGAGCAAAATACGTATGGGAGTATCGAATAACGAAGGAGTAGTGCTAGAAATGACACTTCTTGCGTGTCTAGAGAATGCAATTTTTGTTAACTACTAAATATATTTTTGCGACAAAAATTTTTCATTCCGGCGAACCTGCATGTTTGGTACAAAAAAATATTTTTTTGATAATTTTCAAAAAACTATTTTCTTGGCACAAGTAAAACTTGTTTGAGAACTTTGTCGTTTTTCTCTCAGTGTACTGAGTTATTATCACGGATAAATTTTATTGTGCCCTACGGGACCAGCGCACGGCGATGGTAAGCCGGCTTAACCTTGGGAAGCTAAGCAGCGCTGAGCGTATGGTCACTAGAAGGATGGTTGGCCGCGAGGGAACACCTCTGGAAGAGTTCGAATTTTTCAAAAGCAGGAAGAAGCATTAGGAATTAATATGCTGCTGAAAAAAGTGAAAATCCGTAAGGATTTTCTCCATTACCGTATACCTTTTGGTACATTTTCGGTTTATTTTCTTGGACATCTCATTAAATTTCAATTTACTGAGTCATACGACGATGAAACTAACTGAAGATGGTAAAAATTCAGATAATTACTCCTCAATCTATTCTTATCCATAGATTAAGAAAATTAAAGCTAGTGAAATTAAAATAAGTCTCACTTCGAAATTTGTTCAAAAATTCGAAAAATGAGCGACCTTCTGTCGAAAACCTCAATTCTTTTGAATCACAAGTTGAAAATGAAGTAAAATTCATCCCGTCATGCTCCAATAAAATTCATAATTACAATAGCAAAGTGAAAATTACAATTCCTATAGACAAAGTATTATAGCAAAAATAAAATTTTTCCAAAAATAAAGGGCCTTTTCAGTGTTTACACACCATTTTGTCGAGAAAACGGCCAGTCGATACCAAATTTTCGTGTATTTTGTCACTAAAGAATCATTTATTTTCTTGGATATCCCATTAAATTCCAATTTACTGATTCCTACAACGATGAAAATGACTGACGATATTAAAAATTCAGATAATTACTGCTCAATCTATTCTCATCAATAGATTAAAAAAACTAAAGTTAGTAAAGTTAAAGTAAAAGTTTCAATTCTTCAGCATCACACGTTGAAAGTGAAGTAAAATTCCCCACAATACCCCTAAAATCCACGATTACAATAAAAAACGGAGATAACAAATTCTTCAAACAAAACATTAACGGAAAAATCAAAAGTTTCCAGCAACGAAGGGACTTCGCACGCAATAGGTCCTTCATTAAAAAAATGCTGCATCCATGCTGTATTCGTATGGCTTGCCCACTCGACTCGAAGCACATGGTAACCATGTGGCATTTTAATCCCAGATCGTGTAATCCCCCACCGAAAAACCCCCCCGAACCCCCAACCATCTCAAAAAACCGCTCAATTCCTCATTTCTGTAAAAAAAACCAACAAAAATGAGGGAGATATGATATATATAGCTATACTATATCTCCCACTCTGCACTCCATATAAGGACAAGGAATGCAAGACCTCCAGAGGATTACGAAGCCTCCAAACCTCCCTCGTCACCAAATCCCCTCGACAAAAAAAGCCCACCCCACGTTCATCTCCACTAAAATGACCCCCAAGTCCCGAAAACGCGCCAATAGACCTTTTCACTCTTCGAGTCCCTAGATTTTCGTACACGTTTACGGAATTTACACATCAATCATAATTTTCGAGGGCTCAAATCTGCATTACCATAAATACCAATACTCATCACAATTTTTCATCATTTTTCCTCAGATTTTTCAGTTTAATGAACAGAATAAATATTCCCCCTTGAGTTCCAGAACGAAAAGTTCCAATCCAAATTCCCAAAAATGCGTAAATCACCTCCAAAAATTGTTGTCAACGATTCCCTTTCCAAGCTAAAATCGCCTGATAATCAATCTGAATGGTCCCTCAACAGAAATGTAATGCTGCCCGAGCACGAGGTGCAGATTGACCCGAGCATGGCGGCCATAATAGCGAGCACGAGGCGGCGGGCATAAGTCCCACAAATAGCAATCCCCCCCCAAAAAACTCACCCTGTTCCTTCTTGTTCTCCTGGGGCTTCTGGACCTTCTGATGCTCCTGATTGTCCTTGATAACCCTAGGTTTAGGTGGCTTAACACCGGCAGGCTTAGTGGGCTCCGGTTGCTTGCTCTTATTCTCCTTCTCCGACAACTTTTCCTTCTTCTTTGCCTCCTTCTCCTGCTCCCTCACTTTAAGCAATTCCAGTGGATCCTCGTCCTCGTCAAGTGCCAGGGAAAATTTATTAGTTACAGTGATACTGTATGAGTTCTCCATGGCTGATGATATCCTCTTTACTACGAGGATTTTGAGAAAATTTCACGGCTACTTTTGAGCCCTTGTGTAACAGAGACATTCAATATTTCCAATATGGCCGTTGTCGTGGAATCGACTACCACGAGGTCTGCCGCCGCTCTGGGGAGGGACCGTGCCAACATTGTCTTGCACCCAGCGACCCACACCCCCACCATTTTTACCATTCCCTAAATTATTAATGCGCGGAACGTGTGCAATCGCTTCGGAAAAATATTCAAATCGCTCGGGCGATGGGCTTTTTGTTAATCTATTCTTAATTCTCTCGTAAATAAACTATTTCTCCAGCGCCAGTAAAGGCGCGTATCCATCAACCACTGCGGGAATTACGAATTTCATTCGCTTCTCGCTTAATTTTCCCTCGTTGTCTCCGAGTTAATTCGATTTTACTGGGTTTATTTGTCGATGGATTTGGGGTTTTCGATGGCATTTCGGGGATTTTTATTGTAAATAATGAGATTATTGGTGGTGAATCCGGTTAAGGCGCGTCGGCAAGTGGACGGTCTCCCCCTCTCGACCAATCGCCTTTCACATCCTCCGCCGGAGCGACCGAACTATAGACGTTTGGTATATTCCGATCGCCCAAACGTGCACGATTTTTCGTCCTCGAATTATTGATTTTTCCGTAATGTCGAATGATAATCTAGGGTTGCGTGAAAAAATAGGGGATTAAAATTGAGGGAATTGTCGGGAGAGAGTGAGGAAGAGCCTCTGGAGACCCATAGAATTGCCAATGGGATAATGATAATCTCTTTTCGGACTGTACATCAATTCCAAAAAGCGTTGCTCACGTTTCCAGTTGGCGTCGTCGAGGCGCCACATTATTTTGGCGGTTGAAATCAGTTGCACGCGGCTGTGGTTGGTGTTGAGAGGTCGTGCGAGCGTGTGATAAAGTATTTCACTGTTGATTAGCAACAATTAACGGGCGAAAGTTGACAAAGAGCGGTCGGTTTGAGGGTCGAGGGGAGGATCAAGGGGTAAAGTGATAGCTGGAGTGAGGAGGATTATTCGAGAGGATGGAGCTGCACACACCGCAGAGGGATGCACGAGGTCCCGAGGACGCGGGTCCGAGGAGTCCGCCGATGTGCGATACGATGCTCTACCCCTGGAACTGGGGGGAGGAGGCGAGGAACGTTAATCTGAGCCCCGGGAGCTCGTGCTCGTCCCCGGAGTACCGGGATCACGGGGCTGGGGGCGTCAGGGGGGCTGGGATGAGGTCGGGGGGCTCCGAGAGGGAGAGTCATCGTCGGGGACGTCCTCGGGCCGATGCCCTCACCAATCTCATGAAACAGGGGAGCACGTCACCCAGCAGCATCAAGTGCACCTTCTGCAACAGAGTCTTCCCCAGGGAGAAGAGCCTCCAGGCGCATCTCCGCACTCACACAGGTATGTTTTTCGTCCATTTTTTTACTCTTGATTTTATGAATGAAATTTGATCGGCGGAGGGCGCAGCTCGAGGGGAGAATGAAGGGGAAAATAGGATTTTTCTTAGGGTTGAAAGATTTTTTTTTGTTTTGGTTTTTGTTTGCTCGAGGAGGGCTGGGAGGTGGGACGACCGCGTGGTTAGGTCCCCCGGGGGGTATGCAAGCGTGTGCTGACTCGTTGTGTGTAGTAACGGTCACGCGTCCCGCCAACCGCCATCATGCGCGCTTTAAATTGTTAAATGGATACTTCGGCATGTGCAAAACACGAGTTTTCGCGATCTTCAATTTTTTGGGGCGGGCTCGGTGGTTTTTGGGGAAGAGCGGGGGGTTGCTTTTGTTTTTCGGGGCTATTCTTTTGTTGGGGGTTGCTGGATCCAGGAGCTCTGTACAAAGGATTTTGTTCTGGTTAGTTCTTTGTGGAAATGCTCTAGCACTTCGAATCATTTGTGTGAATGTAATACGACTTTTTTATACATGACTTACGGCTTTTTGGGTTTATATTATGTAATAATCTTGTATTTGCACTTGGCGGGGTGCATTCTGACCCCAGGGCATCGATAAAATGCTCAAATAAATAAATAGATAGATAAATAATCAATTTATACGAAGTAACTATGTCTTTACTGCAGAATAAACAGTGAGGTTTAAATGGTATAATAAAAAACGACAAATCTAAGGGAGATGATTAAATTTTTGAGATATTTAAATTTTCTTTTGTTGGGGGTTGCTGGATCTAGGAGCTCTGTACAAAGGATTTTGTTCTGGTCAGGTCTTTGTGGAAAGCCTCTAGCAGTTCGCGGAAATGCCAATTGAAATTTCGAGGATTTTGAGAATGTCGACGAAATTCAGTTGCGAAGGGGTAAAATGGTCGATTTAATTTAATTTTTAGTTATTTTCGAGGAATATCAACGAATCTGAATTATCATTTGTGTAAATTCACATGAAATAACTATGTTTTTACTGCAGAATTAACAGTAAGGTTTGAAAGCTACAATAAAAAATGTACGAATCTAAGGGAGATCATTGAATTTTCATATTTTCTAATTTGATGCAACAAAAAAAATTCACGCAGCACTTCAATTGAATTTATAATTTTCGTGTCATGAAAATTATGAAATTATGCGAATTAATTTACACCGCGAAAATTATCAGAGAGTGGGCAAGGAGTTTATTAATGAACACTTCAATGCATGAATTTTCGGTAAATTTTTGTTAGAAACCACTTGAAGTAAAAGCCCATAAGCTATGATATTTTCTTTGGGATCATTGACATTCTTCAGAATGTGTAGAAAAGGACATAAAACACTTATATCTCATTAATACTAATTTCTTCTTCTAGTCCTCTGCCTTTTTGATAGATTTACGACTGTGAAAAAATTATTTAAAGATTTTCATATTTTGAGTTGATAAACTTGTTATTGGTATCAACATTCTCAAAATTATGGAAATGAGATGAACGCTAACAAATTTTGATCACAAGTAGTTGCACGATAATCCTGTTTGTATTTCATCCCAGAAAACTACTTTCTTTTCTATCTATATAAATGCAGAGATGATCGATTATTTCAATCAGTGAAATTACAATTGGCGCTTTGCAGGTCCCTCGACACGAAAATTAATATACACACCTCGCCATGGAAAACATATCACCCTCCCCCAGGTGCTTGCCATCCTCGCCTTCGGCTCGGAAGGCAATCTTGCACGTGGGGGACGGTGATCTGTTTTCCAAGGCTCGGGCATGTAATGTACTATTTCCTACTGATCTTCTTTCGTGAAATCCCTATTGGTAATTAGTTAGCATAGCACCTTGAATTTCTCAGGGATACTGATAAGTAAATATTAAGTTTTTATATATGATCTTGAAGTATTCCGTCGTATAATGTGTGGGGAACTGGCTGCTATGAATGAATTTAACCTCCTCGAACTATTATACTTAGTAACGTGTGAATCCCCTCTACACTGAGAGAAAAACGACAAAGTTCTCAAACAAGTCTTACCTGTGCCAAGAAAATAGTTTTTTGAAAATTGTCAAAAAAGGATTTTTTGTGCCAAACATGCAGAGAGTGCGCTGGAATGAAAAATTGTTGTCGCAAAAATAGATTTAGTAGTTCAAAAAAATTGCATTCTCTATACACGCAAGAATGTCATTTCTAGCACTAGGGTGAATCGTCCAGTGTTCGAACGAATAAGGTCGCAGTTATTTTTGACGCAGATTTAAAAATATAACCAAGTCGAAAATTGATTTAAACATAATTATAACTCCCCTGTACATCTCCATAGATAATAGAAAAAAATATTATGAATATTAATGGACGATACAATTAATGATATGAATACAAAAAGCTGAAAATGTGTGAAACCCCAGTAATCGAAATGCGTATTCTGTAGTGGGAATATGCTATTGGCGGCGTGTCATCGAAAACTATTTTTTCCGCTGGTAATAAGGTAACTTAGACATTATCAGTCATCACAATATCATTTGGAAATGTCATCATTTTATTTTTCATGTATAATGCGAGGCATCTCTACCTTTTACTAATTTATTTTATAGAAAAAGTACCAATTAGTTCGATTACTGGTCTGGTTCGAACACTGGTTGGTTCACTCTACTCCTTTGTTATTCGATACTCCCATACGTATCTTGCTCCCGAAAAATCTTTGTTTTATGCGGAACAAGGGATAGTAGTTTTTCGTTTCGGCTGTCTGATAATCACAGACAAGAAATTAAACCTTAAGGCCCGGGTGTACTATCTTTCGAATGTTATCTGGATCTTTTTTATCTTTCAAAAATTGTCCAAAATTGTCAATTGAGTGGTACATCATGTAGAAATTCCCAAAAATTATGATAGAATGATAAAAATAAAAAATTCTGAACTTTTTCAAAGAGCGTTTTTAATTGAGATTCAGACTGAGTTGAAAAAAGTGGAAATTACAAATATCTGATTCGCTGTGGTAAATTATCTATTAGCCGTCATTTCCCATGGTGGATTACAAAACACTAACTCCTCATGGGAAGTGACAGCTAGGTATCTCAATTTTCAAAACAGTGCTATGTAGTCATTTGCCATTTTTATGTGATAAAAGTGTGATTAAAAAATTCTCCANCGTCATTTCCCATGGTGGATTACAAAACACTAACTCCTCATGGGAAGTGACAGCTAGGTATCTCAATTTTCAAAACAGTGCTATGTAGTCATTTGCCATTTTTATGTGATAAAAGTGTGATTAAAAAATTCTCCAAAATATTACAACTTTTTTCAAAGATCCTTTTCCGTAATAAATGTCTCTGTGCAGTGTGGGAAAAGATTTACGAAATCAGTCTTCCCCCTGAATGATATTGGGTGACAGGCCGCCATTTGTCACCCGAAATCATATACATTTTTCAATTTCTTGTTATTCAACTTATTCTGAATATAAATGAAAAAAGCTCTTTGAAAAAATTAAGAATTTTTTCTACTTTTTTAAAATTATTCATTCATAATTTTTCAAAACTTCTGCATGATGCAGGACTCAATTAACAATTTCAGATGACGAAAGATGAAAAAAAACATCGAGATTACGTTCAAAAGATAGTACACCCGGGCCTTAAATGAAACAATAATAATGATATGATAGCAATCTTGTAACTTAGGGATGAAATATTTGTTGATAAATTTTCCCCTATATGAGATATTTTCATCCTGAAAAGGCACCGTCTGATGTGAATTATCCGCCTCTTGAGCCAAATATTTCATTGCTGTCGAAAGCAGACCAATTATTCATGTTTGAGACTTTCAAATTCACACCAAACAAATTCTTTTTTGGCAATTTTCAACTAGCGATTTTGTTGACCCAAACAAGACTTGTTTGACACCGTGTTTGTTTTTCTCTCAGTGTATACAAATTATTTCTATGCATAAATTTCCATATAAATTTTTGTTTTGATACCAAAGATTTCTAAAAGCTCCAGAGAAAAACGTAGAAAAATGTCGCAATTCCATACGAAATGGTTCTATGCATGTGGCAGTGGCTCGTATAGGATCAAACTTATAGAAATAGTCGTATAAAAAATATCCGAATATCGTATACGAAAATCCTATAGAAATTCCACACGCAATCCGTGTAGAAAATTTCTATACGACTTTTCCATACGTGCCTTGGACCCTGATTTAACGTTCACTACGAGTAATTCCAACTAACAATAAATTTTAATAACCTTTTCCAGGTGAGCGACCGTACCCCTGCGACTACCCAGGCTGCACAAAAGCCTTCACCCAGTCAGGCCAGTTGAAAACCCACCAGCGTTTGCACACCGGCGAAAAGCCCTTCCTGTGCACCGAGCCCGGCTGTGACATGAGATTCACCCACGCCAACAGGCACTGTCCAGACCACCCTTACGCCACCCTGACCCGCTCCGACGATTTCGTCCTGAAACCAGTCTCCGGCAACACCGAACTACCCCACGACGTGACGAGATGGTTGGAGCGCTACAAAATGGCCCGCGAACGAGAGGACAGAACGCCGACAGGCAAAGACAGAAAGAAGAAGCCCTGGAAAACGAACTCTGAGAATCACAAGAGAATAAAATCACGAAAGGGTCTGATGATGGACGCAGCAGGTGAGCAGGAGAATCTCGTGAGAAAGCCAGCGAATCAGAGGCTGTACTGCAACGAGAGTCAGAGCAGTCAGGAGGAGAGTCAGGACGACGAGGACCCAGCAGAAGCCTGTTCGGTGCTGCAGCATTCTGAGGACGAAGAGCCAACGACGAAACTACCAGTGACACCTTTGAGACGACCCCTGGACAGGCTGCAGCCCAAGAAACGTTGGCTGAGAGAGGCTTGTCTGGAGCAGCAGCTGGCTAAACCGCTGAGATGGGACTGCACAAGGGGAAACGATCCCGAAGATATCACCGACAATCCTGACAATCCTGAGGAGCATCAGCTGAGTATGGGGCTATTTAATTCAAGATTCACTGTCAGGGATTTGTCCAATCCCCTCGAGTTCTCTGGGACTGACAATGGCCTTGAGAGCTCAAGTGTCGATTCTTCGATCTACAATAATCCAACGAAGATCAACTGGGACAACTGCATTCTTCCTGACAATTCGTCCGAGGGAGTTCCTGTTGATGCTCTGGTGGATGGCAGTGACAACAACCAGTGCTCAGAGCTGAATAACGATTGGAGTGGAGCGTGTGGACGGTCTGTTAACAGTGCAGGCAATTCTGAGGAGTCGTTGGAGATGTTGAAGCCAGTGAGACAGGTGGAGAACGAGCTGAGACCTACTGTCCTGATGCTAGCTGGCTCCAGCAACGTCACAGAGCCCATGAGGACCATCCAGAGAGCTCCGGAGGAAACTAAAGTCAAAGTTGTTGTTGTCAGGCAGGATGAGAAGCTGATGAATCTTCCACCTCCGGAGGACAATCAGAAGTGGCTGGGCGCTCTGGCACTCATGGAGCTAGCCAAGAATCAGGAGGAAGCTGCCAAGGCTCTTGGATATGGAAAGGGCCCTGAGCAGTACAGCATTCATCCCAGTTTCAATTATACTCATATTTAGACTGTGATTTTTCATTCATCTTTCTTCAGGTTTTTTCACTATTCATGTTCTCTTCCCTTTTCTTTCGTCTTCTGCAGGGTTGTAAGTTTTAATTATTAAGTTTGTATACGGTTTAAATTCAATTTGACTTCCTTTGCTGTTACTTATGACGATATTGATTTTTTTTCTTTTGGGGAGTTATGGAGTTCAGTGGTGGAGTGGGGAATGATTGGGAGATTTCGAGGGGTTTCGTTGGTGGGGAGTTTATCTTGGGGGTGACTGACTTTGGGGGGATATGCTAGGAGACAAAAGGTTCTAATGAAAAATGTAACTTGGTGTTTTCTCTGGAAATTAGTCGTTACTGAGATGATTATGTGTTTGATAGCACATTTTGATGAAAGAGACTTTTGAAAGTATAAAATTTATATTTTGAAATATTTCACATTTGAAGTTTTAAAAGTCTCAGGTTGAGACTTTACGAAGTGTTAAATGAAGACTTGAAAGTCTCAAATTGAGATATTCAAATGTTTCAAATTGAGACTTTCAGAACTCCCTTTAAGGATGTATTGCACCCTTTTCGCCAAAATTCACGTTTTTTGCATTTTTCTGGCAAATTGTTGATTGAATTGACGTGAAAAAATATACCATTTTTGCATTTTATCATTACTTGATGACTCACAAAATTTCATGATGGTGCAATGATTTTCCTGCGTTTTTTCTAGAACTTTTCAGAAATTCACAAAACTTTAGAAAAAATGCAGGAAAATGATTGCACTACCATGAAACTTCGTGAGTCAGTCAGTAATGATGGAATGCAAAAACGGTATATTATTTCGCGTCAATCCGTTCAACAATTTGCCAGAAAAATGAAAAAAACGTGAATTTCGGCCGAAAGGGCAAATTTCTTATTTTCAAATTTATTATCTTCCGAATGTAATGTAGATTGTTTTTTTTTTTTTATAATCTGAAATGTTATTCAATTGCCGTTCAGTTTTACGTGGCCTTGGAGTCTTCAAAAATTATGATTGTACAATAAAAAAAACTGAACATTTTCAAAGAGCGTTTTTGAATAATATTCGGAAATAAAGCCAAGAGGGAGGAAATTGCAAATTAATAATTTACAGTATCTCATGGATGTTCAGTCGTAATTTGTCCCAGTAGCCTGTGCTTGTCAGATCGTTAGTTGCCATGATAAATTATCGATTATATGGCATATAAATTATCCAATTTTTTCTCTATCGGACTTATTTCTTAATCTTTATTAAAAATGCTCTTTGAAAATGTTCGGTGTTTTTCTACTTTTTTAATTGTGAAACCATAATTTTTAGGGACACCTACGTGATCTAACATCCAGTGAAAATTGTGATATCTTTTAGATTATGAAGATGGAAAAAAAATCGAGATAACGTTCGAAAGATAATCCATCCGGGCCTTAAATCAAGACTTTTGAAAGTCTCAAATTGAGATTCTCAAATGTTTCAAATTTAGACTTTCAAAAATTTCATGTTGAGACGTTCAGAGCTCCCTTTAAAGAAAAAATTCAAGTTGACTACCAAAAGTCTTAACTAGGAGCATTCACAAGCATCAGCTTGAGTCTGAAAGTCTCAAATTAAGTTAATTAGTCTTCTAAAGTCTGAACTTAAAACCTGCAAGTCTTAACTCGAGGCTTTGAAAGTCTCAAAGACCTTTCAAGCTCTCAACATGAGACTTTCTGGAGGCTTAAATTGAGATCTAAAAGTCTCAGGTTGAGACCATAAAAACTCTCAACTTCAGAATTTCAAGCTTCAAGAATTGAAAATCTTATTTTAAGACCTTTGAAATCTCAAGATAAGGTACTATTTTTTGAATGAGCATGTGAACGAGTTTTGAACCAAAATAAGAAACATTTGACAAAATTAAAGTTTATTGAAAAAGGTCTTGAGAGCGTCAAGGGACCTCTTCTGTAGCTGAATTACATTCCAACAAAAAAGGTCTCTTGACGTGTCGCAGATGGAGACTTGAAAAATAATTGACTTGTTCTCTTACATTTTACCATTCCACTACTGAATTTGTAATATTGTTGGTTCAATTCCCTAGACTGAACTGACAATCTGCTGTCTGACATTTTTCATATTTCATCAACATTTTTTATTGTTTGAAAAACGTTAACATTATCTGAATCTTAAATTTATAATGGACGAGGTTGAGTAGAATAGACGAAGAGAGAAAAGTATGAGATACTTTCAATTGTGACACAGATACACCGATATTTTCAATGGTATATTCATGATACAATTGTCAAACTCAATTGTTCCAGATGAGAAAACTGTGTGATAATAGTAACGATATGGTTAAGAATGATGATGTTGAGAGAGAATCAATATTTATGCCATGTGTTTAAATAATATTATGTTTAATGTAAGGAAGTTTAATTATTCGTGCTGAAGTAATAGCAGTTTCTTCATTCTGTCTCATGAAAATGTACATAAAGATATATTTTAATAAATATTTTTCAATTGAAAGTTGATATTAATTGATTGTTTTCTCGTTTTTTCTTCACCCTATGTCCTTTAATTCTTAAAAAATAATTGGAATTCAGTTGAAGAAATATTTCACATTTGGCTCAGCTGATTCCAACTATTAAGTCTACTCCGGTTGCAGATGAAATAAAAAATTTAAATATGAAAAACATTTCAGGGATTGGCATCAATCATTAGATTATTAATATCTAGAGATATTGCTCCTTAAAATAATTAGGATTTCCTTCTCTTCATTGTAATTTGAAAAATAATGAAACAATTGATGATCTAAATTTTCAATTGATTGCGAATTAAATAATTGACAATGTGCAATTGTCAATTGATTATTAAGGACATAATTCTAAATTTCATAAAAAGCATTTTCAATTAGCCAAATAATCGTCATGTTCCAAACTCAATTGTTGATTGATAAAATAATTCGGAATTTAAATATTTAATTGATGAGTAATTTAATAATTGAAAAATTGTTGAGTAATGTTAACCAGTTGACTACTTCAAAATCTAACTTCATTTCAAATTTATGATTATAAATGCCTGAATTATTTTCATTTCAGGAAATATATGCAGATGAAGAAAAAAATGGAAATATGAAAAACATTTTTATTCCAGAAAATACATGCTTCAATTTCCTAAATATACATTAACAATTATTCCTCGAGGATCGATCGATCGATTATAATCGACATTAACTAATAATAGCTTCATTTGATTTACCTCAAGTCTATAAATTCCTGAGACTTTTCCATTTACTTTTATACAAAATTAATTACATATCATTCAAATAAGACACGAACAGTCTTCTCAAATTCCTCCTAAATTGATAAATTCGCTTTCTTGAGATTATTACACATCAATTAGCTGTTCACCAGAAAGTATTCGGAAAATTGTAAATAAAAATTCTCAACTTCTACATCATATCTCAAATATTAATGATCTAATTCACATTCACCCTTAAAAAATACAATACAAAAGTACAAAAATTCTCAATCACTCGATAAATACTAAATCCCCTACCTCCTAATTTACAATCTTTTCCGAGATAATTTGGTTTCAGTAGTAGAGTCCTTTCCAACGAGCCTGCGAGAACGTCTAGGCTCAACATAACTGGACTCCACAACTTCATCATCACTCCCAACATCCTCCCCCCCATTAATCTTAATCCCTGGGACACTCAAATCCCTAGGCCGAGTGCTCTTCACAGACAGTCTCTCAACTCCTTTGGTAACTGCATCAACCCTCGAACCAGAAGCTTTGACAGACAATCTCTCAACCCCTTCAACAATTTTAGCCACACCAGCATCAATCGACCCCTTCCTGGAGGATCTCCCACTGCCGGAGCCCCTAGAACGTGCTCCAGAAGCTTCCCCACTCCCTCCACGAGTCTCCCCACCCATCATCGCCTTGGCAGCCTCCACGATCCTCTCGACCCCACGAGCATTCATCAAAAAGATATCATCACTTCCCAAAGCCCTCCGACTCCTCCCCCTACTCTTTGATTTCTCATACTCCCTCTTCCCCTCCTCCAACACATCAATCAACTTCTGCAGGACATCATCAGTGATTGGACCCTCCCACTTCCTCCTGAGAGCATGAAGCCTGCGAGACAGATTCGGAGCCACTAGAACCCCCTCATCAACCAACTCCTTGAACCTGAGCGATCGATCCCCACGTTCACCCCCAGATGCATCTTTTCCTGGTGTCGCCTCCTCATCCTGATTAAAATCATCATCTTCAGCGAGTTTCCTGCGCACTGGCTTGACCCTAGTCACTACCCTCTTCTTCCTTTTATCAGGCCCCACGAGAGCTGGACTCAACTCCTCAGGATCGCTCTCAACAGCATCGACAGTGGCTTTGCTGAAATCTAAAATTGGAGCCTGATTCCTCCGAGGAGACCTCGACCTGGGCCTGGGGCTGTTCCCACTGTCTTTAGCTGGAGTGACACACAGAGCATCAGGAGTATTCACCTGGGGATCTAAGTACTCGTCAATATCAATGTCGTTGACCCCTGGAATCACTAGACTGGACCTGGGCAATCCCTCAGGGAAGACCTTCTCAAAGCTATACTCGACGACAATGTCCATCGAGCTCTCGTACACAGGGTGGCACTCAAGCCTATAAATGTCGCAGATCTCCAGTGCCCAGCAGACGACCCTCCTCCCCTCGTCGTAAGTACTGGGGTCCTTCTTCAGGAATCTCACGTAGTCCAGCAGGAAGAGAACGTAATCGATGACGTACTGAAACTGATAGTTGTCCTCCTTCCTGGAGAGGTTCAGCAATCTCTCACTGATGTTCAAAGCCCCCTCGAAATGCTGTCTGGCATAATGCTTGAGGTTCTGAAGACTGTACAGCTGAGCCCTGATGTGAGTGCAAGAGAAAACAAGAAATTTATAAGCCTCGTTGCCACACCTGAAGCACCTGCACTTGTGCTCATGGCTGACGAAGTCAGGGGTTGCGAATTTTTCTCGTCTCAGAATGGGTGAGGAGTCGTTCTGGGGGATGTCCCTGATGGGCTCCACGCCTCGATGGGGTGAGACAGTACTCGTGAATGCCGACGAATCAGGGATCTTCATGAATTCCCTCTGCATGGAGCCCTCGAACATCTCCATCTGCAGGATGAACTCCATCCCCTGGAGCTTGACCTCACAGTCCTCCAGTTGATTCCTCGACAGGTCTATCAAGCAGAGGTACTTGAGCATCTCAGCGACCCTGAGGACTGACATCTTGGGCTGGCAGACCTTGAGACGTCTAGCCAGATGAGCTGTGATCTCTCGAAACGAGAAGAGGGCGTTCATCCGGATGGAGACGTTGCAGGAGACCTCCAGGAGCATGTCCATTTCGTAGAGACTCCACGAGAGGTCCTTGAGGTCACCCGCTGTGTCGTCGATCAGGAGCATTGTGTAGAGGGTGTGGGCGATAATTCCAGTGTATTCGAGATTGTTCCTCTTCTCGGGTGGGTAATTGTGGAAGCGGTGGGCCAGGGCGATGTGCTGACTGAAAATAAACGTCCCACAGTTTTCACTCAGATTAAGAGGTGCTGCAGTAATCCCCTCGTCGAAGAGCTTGTCAGCCTCTCCAGTCCTTCCGATGTAGTAGTAATAGTCTGCCAGACTCATCTTGAACATCGAGATGACTGCTGGCACCTTCGACTCCTTCGAGTTGACCAAGTTACTCGCAATGATCTCTTCTGCATTCTTTATCCAGTCGTCTCTGATGTACCGAGACATCACACTGCGACCTGTGATGTACACGACAGCCTCGAAGTTGTCGGTTTTCACTGCGAGGTCATACCCCATCCTCCAGAATTTAATCTCAAGATCTTTGTAACGATAGAATCGAGAGTATTCTCCAGCCACTATGACAGCTTTGACTGTTGAAGTTCCATCGAAGGAGTTCCATTTAGCCACTGAGTCTGGGGTGAACGACTTCTTCCATAAATTGTAGATGTCCTCTAGTCTTGAAGCAAGTGTCTTCGCAGTCGTAATGTTTATCTTACTGAATCCTGGAACGACGTTGGATCCTGTGGAGCTGATGCCATTCGTGGATGATGCATAAAGCTTGATGTTCGCGTTCTTCATCTCGGTTTTCGTGGCCTCTTCGAGGGATCTGATCTCCTCAAGAGCCTCGTAAAGAGTTAAGTGGGAGAGGAGGTACTGAACGTGCTCGAGACTAGCCCTGTCAAGCTTCAGGGACTTTAATTTCTCGATGGCTTTCCTCAGATGATCAGCGAGCGAGATCTTCGATTGGAAGAGCAGGGAGTGGTGCCCCAGCTGATGCACAGCTGTTCCATAATTGATGGCATCGGCATTCAGGGTTTCGAGGGTATTCAAGACAGCGAGGATGGACTCAGAGAGGTCCAGACTCATTCCAATGTGGGATTTTATCTCCCTGAGGCAGATGTCCTTCAGCTCTTCGTTCTTCAGTCTGATAGGGCCCAGACCCAGAACCCTCAGATCGTCTGAATGCTTCCAGAGGAACTCCACAAGGGTCAGTCCTCTGGAGGATGGATCCTTGTAGTGAATGAAGGACCAGTTACGATAGCCCTTGCACTCTGGGTGCCTCGGGTGCAGGTACACGTTGATGGCAGTGAAGATCCTAGCCTCGTGGAACTGACTGCTCCCATAGCACATGTTGCTGATTCTGTGGAGGGCTAGGGACAGTGGAGGCGTTGGAGTCGACTGGAAGAATAACTTGTCCTCGTCAGTGGCTTTCAGCCTGATAATGCTGCTGGCTAGGAACGTGCAAACCTCCAGGCTCTTCTCGTAATGACTTGAGCTGAAGGTCAGGGAGAAGTTGTAGATCGAAGCTGCTAGGCTGAACCAGTGCTCCTTCCACTTCTCGCAGTTCTTCTCCTGGAGGTCCTGGAGGAGGTCCACACACTGGGAAGAGACTTTCAAGAACAGCTCAAAGAATTCTGGAGGCAATTCTGACTTGGGACAGAGTCGGTACAGCAGGAGCACTATTTTCGACTTCAACTGGCACGACTTCAGCTTGTCCTGGAGGACCAGACAGTTTTTACTGCCACATCTACAGAGGGAATCCACTTGGTAGTTCCTAATGATCTCTGAGAGGTAGTTCACGAGGCTTGCTGTGGTGGTGATCACCTCGGGACTCAGGTGGTCGAAGCTGCTCTGGGGAGACTCACTCCAGAGGGCGAACAGCGCCTCTAGGATTGAGGCAGTTGCGTAGAAGTTGGATTTTATGAGGCTGTTCTCACCGTAGCTCACAATGTGCACTTGGAATTTTCGGGCGAGCTCGACTATCTCCTCGGCATCGTTTTTGGTGAAGTTCGTCTGGGGTCTGACGAAGATTTTGCTGAAGTCCTTGAGGATCTGGTGACATTTCGACGACTCACGACTCTCCAACATGCAGCTGTCAAAGTTCTTCAGCAATTTCTTGAGGATTTTTCTCAGGGTTTCTAGCCTTTTGCTCTTTATATAGTGGAGGGATAGTGTGGAGACGATTTTTGTGAAGTTGTCGTAGGTTGAGAATCTGTTTCGATCGCCCAACTGGAGGTCTGTGGAGCTCAGGGACTTGAGGAAGAACTTGTCAGTGAAATCGTCGAATTCTTCTTTCGAGCACTGCAGGTGTTTCAGGAACTCTGTGTAATGCAGAAGCTTCAGCAAGAGGGACTTGGAGCCATCGGATTTAATGAACTCTTCTATGTTCAGTTGGTACTTGATGACTGTGAGGATTTGCTGGAAGGTGGGGGGAGTCAGAGAGCCTGGCTTCTTCGATCTCAGGAATTTGTCGATTGAGACGAAGAAGATTGAACCGAGCTTTGTGTAGTTGTCGTTGGGGTTTTTACACTCGTCGAGAATCTGGTGGTGCCAGGTGGAGGTCGGCATAAGGTAGTTGGCGATCGTCATGGCTCTCTCGAAGAGCTTCATGCCTAGGAGAACTCGGACTATGTGGTAGAGACTGCAGAAGTAGTCGGATGTGGTGGGGATTGGGGCGAGATCCTTGCAGATTGCTTCTGATAAGTCTGATATTTCGTAGCCTGTTTGGTGATTTGTTGCTGGACATTTTGTGGCTGTTTGGCAGAGGTAGATTAGGAGTCTCAGGAGGGTTTTGACCTGGCTGGCTTTATCTTCGAATCGGTAATTCTGTAAATGAAATTTTTATTGGGATTGAGACGAGTGTGTAGACGCCGAATTGGGAAGAACACTGGAAAGTGAAAGGGAATGAACACTTATGGGCGAAAAAAAAATTATCAATCATTGAATTGTTGATGAAAATCAATCATTTTGGGTGTGATGGAAAATACATTCCTTTTTGTCTGTAATAATGAGTCTGGAACGAGTTGAATCAATGAATTTGTCATTTTGCTTCCGAATGGAAGCTTTGTAATAGTGACTTTTCGATTTCTTAATTTTGGGTGTAAATGCCAGACATGTCATGAAACGTGAAGAAATGAGATTTTTAAAAATTGTCTGCATGTGGGTAGGTAGGTGTGTGCACATGTGTGTTCGTATGTCCAGAACTGTCCCCATAACTCGAGAATTATTGAGGCAAAGATGTTGAAATTCTGGCTGTTAACTGATACTACTGAGACTCAAATTTGTGCTAAATTTCAGCTCGATCGGTTGAGCGCTTCCTCAGATATAGCGATTCTTCGAAAATCGTTTTTTGCCGATATCTCCTGAATCACTCCACCGATTCGATTTTTTTTTCAAAATACTCATTATGATGATACCTATTCAATTGGATTGAAAAAAGACCATTACACCCTCAGCATGGTAGTTTTATTCTCGTTTTTTCATTTTTTCGCTGAAATTGCTTGTTCGCACGATAACTTAAAAAATAATCGAGATAGAAACTTGAAATTTGGTATGATTTTAGGTCATATGGTAACAAAGTTTAGGATTCTGGATGAACGAAATCGTACCGGTAGTTTCGGAGATATTCAACTTTGTATGTGAAACTCTTTTGCTCAATATCTAAAAAACTATTGATCCGACTTCAATTGTTTTTTTTTCAAAATGTGCGTTTTGATGTCATCTATCTATATCCAACAAAATATGGGTACCATCCCATTGAAATTTTTCGAGATATCGTCGTTTTTGTATTTTTTTTGTCGGAATTCTCTTTTGCGCACTGTAACATGGGTAAAAGTCAGGGAAACCTTTTGAATCTTTGGTTTCTAGTGAGAATTGTCAAGGAAGATTTCTGTATCAAATTTTAGGTCGATATATTTGATAGTTCTTGAGAGGGAGCAATTCATCCAAAATTCTTGAGAAAAAAAAATCATTTTTTTGTCATAAAGTATGAGTGGGATTGGCCTTAATATTTTCAAAAAATGGTAATCCTTATGCCTTCATTTTTTGAAAACATACATTGGGATCCATTCGAAAGCCTACTACCAATGAAATTGGTAGAAATGAAAGTAGGAGAAAAAAATAAAATAGAATCAGTCAAAATAGAATTTTTGTAATTGTTCAACTCTAAATTTTGGATTTTTGAAGTTATATCGGTCCAGTATGATCCAACAAGCCCGGAAATGGATTTTTCGACCTCGTCCGGATGTGTGTGTCTATACAGAGAAACAAGCAGTGAACATCTCACTCATTAATTTTTTTTTATACTTTGTTTGCCATCAATAAATTGATGGTGGGCTTCCGAATGGTTTTTAGCGTAATAAAATTTGATTTCAACTTGATATTTCGATTTTTGCTTCTGCTAGAGACCGAACAACGATTTTGAGGTAAAAAAAGAAAAAAATCGATATATCTCGAAAACTTGAATGTATGAACGGGTATATATATTTTGATTGATTAAGATAGAGGACATCAAGATGAATATTCAAAAAAAAAATACTGAAATCGGTTGGATATTTTCCGAGATATTTGGGAAAAAGGGTAAAAAAATAAATTGCTATTACTCAACAACTAATGGACGGATTCAGCTGAACTTTGGCGCAGAGTCAGTCCCAAATTATACCAATAAACTGACAAAATTTCAAATTATTTGGGATGATTTTGCCCGTTTATTCGTCAATTTTAGGAAAAAGTGACCACCGACTGGACATGATCACACACAGACCAATCTGCATCGTTTCCAAGCAAAATTAGCGGGTCGAAAAATCGATCGAATGCAATGCTTCCATTTGGAAGCAAAAAAATGATTTTTTCCAAATATTCATTAACTAAAAAGAAGCATTTATCTTCTTCAAAATCGTATTTCTCCAATGGAGTCATGTCCGGGCGAGTCTGATCAGGTTTCTATTATCACAATGATGTAATATCCTCTGGTCAAGACATCCAAGATTTAATCAAATGCATTTTGATCTTACTGGTTTTGTATTGGAATCAGAAATTTCGTCAACAAAATTTTTGTTGAGATTAAAGCGAGTCTGAAGACTCTTAAATAGGACAACTGCGGAAAATGGGACAAAATGGACACTTTTGACCTTTTTAAAAACGGATAACTCATTGAATTGTTGGTAGAATGAAATAATTTCGTCTATCATGGAACATACATCCCTTCTCATTTGCACTGAGTCTGGACTGAATCCAATTCAGTAGCGAAGTGGTAAAACGGTTCCAGTCGACTTATCTCCCAGTTAAGTTTTTGAGGAATATTTCCGAAACTAAAGAAGATAGCGAAATTTTCGTAATCACATTTGTTGTAGCTCCCAATCGTCTCTACAAAAAAGGTTATAAAGAAAATTTTGTTATCTCCCGTAGATTCGGAGAGGTTCATTGAAAACTGGCCAATAGACAAAATTGACTTGAACCGTTTTACCACTTCGCTACTAAATTGATGAATTTGGTTCTGATTTATGAATATTTAAAGTCAAGTGTTCATTTTACTCCAACGTCCCCTCTATTATCTGCAATACTTCGAGAGTATGGTGAACAGGCCAATTGCTGGACGGTTAATGTCACAATAATGGGAGTTTCGTAGTCGAATCTAAAATAAAAGAATCACTTAAATGGGAATATGATGGCTTCCATACCTTCAAGAACGTTTTAATTAACAGAAAAAAATTATTTGAAGTAAAAATAACAAAACAAAGAATATTTAACTTAAGAAATAGTTGACTACTGCCAGAACCTCTAATTTCTGGATGACTGGGCTATATTTTTTTATTTATTAAATGTCGATCAGTAGAAAAAATAATTGATCACATGATTATACACGAGTAATATTATTGAAAGAGGAAATAATCAGTACAATTTTCAATTTATTCATGTTGAATTCGTCCAGAACTGACCCTCGTCCAGAAATTGACCTGTTTACCCTTAGCAGATTAATATTTATCATTTTTTTTTTTCATTTAGAAGGTAATTTTTTGAACCTTGAAAATGAGACCCCATTTTCTGGAACCGTATCATTTGGTCATAAGATATTCAAGACTTAATGCTGTTAATTGTGCTCAATTTTCCAGTGTAATTAATATTTTTACCTCTATTTCTCTTTGGACTTTTGTGAATTCGTTCGCCTGTATAGCAGCCACCCATTGTTTAGCCTGTGACGACGCATTTCGACTCATTTTCGGTAATTTTCAATTGTTGTTGTATTTACTCCAACTGTAAAAATTTGAATTCGTAACCTATAGGTCGAGTCGAAAGTTATTTGAGATTATTTGGAAATTCGTGACTTACGTTAATCGAAAATTCAGTTCTAACTTAATTAAACACTTTGGAGGATTAAACTGGACGAAAATGATTAATAATATTGATGTTTCAACATTTTTGGAGGGAAAACTGTGGCTCCTGTAGGTTCATCTCGTAACGTTCAATCAACCACTGCCATGTTTGAAATAATAATGCTCCAAAAGTTGTGGATCAACTTTTGAGGTCTTCTGCGCAGCGCTGCAACTCTCTGCCATTTTATTGGTTAAATTCTACCCGGGATTTTGAGTATGGCGTCAGGTTAGGGGTATCCCCCACTACTAGAGAATGCGCAAGAGCGTGCTTGGGGTAGGCTTGAATCTCATCACCATCATAAACATCTGAACACAGACAAGGTTGCCTGATTGGGCGATTCACCGCCAAATGGACGATTTTCAATGTTCATTTGGCGTCTAATAGGGAACTTGCATTTTAGAGTGGTTTTTGAAGCCTTTCCACTCAAGAAACATGAATAGCAACCATATTAATTATGGTATAAACTAATAAATAGGAATAATGGCACGACCAGTCATACCGATAGAGATCATAGCAAAGCACGTCGTTGAACGACTTTTTTGCATAAATTCACTCTAGATAAGTAACCTTTTGTTTATTGGAGAAATGTTAAACCCATCAGTGTATTTGTATTTGGCTACTATATATGACAATAAACACCTTTAAAACACAAAAAAAAGGGAACTTGCATGATTTTTCTATATTTTTATGAATTCCTATTCTAAAAAAAATACACTTAAAGTCGATAACTATCGATATCTCGCAAGTCTGTCACGCTTATTCCTCATTGGTTCCAGTCGTCTGAGGCGGCAAATTTAATCCATGATTAATTTAATTTTGAGATTTTCAATTATGATTGTTACAATTACAGCCCGCTGTAGCGCGCGTTCGGTCTGGTAAAAAAACAAGCAGGGAAAAGCGAGCATATGGCAGCGCGCCATGTGACAGTGAGCATGTCACTGAGTGATATGCTATTTTTTTCGCCATCAATACATTAATGACGGGCTTCCGAATGGTCTGAAATATTACAAAAGTTTATAGCTTTACAACACTGACTAGCAGCAAAAATTTCAAATGGTTACTGCCACCTGCATGGGTGCTATCAAAATAATTCCAATGCCCCGGAAACAATTTTGACGGATGCCATCTAAAAGTCCCCAGCAAGAATGGTAAATATCCGTAAATTTACTGGTAAATTGTTAACTGGGTGTTGTGAATACTTCGTATGAGCGGGTATATGTATTTTCTGTCCAAATTTCAAGTTGATATCTCGATTTCTGCACAAGCTGGAGTGTTTACAAAGTTTTTTTTATAAAAAAAAAAACGGAAAAATGGGAATATCTCGAAAACTTTGTATCAGCTGGTATATATATTTTGATTGATTTAGACAGAAGGCATCAAAACGAATGTTTTGAAAAAAAAAGTGAAATCGGTTGCGTAGTTTTGAAGATATTCCATGTAAAAGATTTTCACAAAAAGTCGAATATCTCCGAAACTATTGATGTGATTGAACCTAGATTCAACACGAAACATTGCTATCATGAGAGGAAGATTCTGTCCAAATTTCAAGTTGATATCTTGATTTTTGCACAAGCTAGAGTGTTTACAAAGTTTTTTTTTATAAGAAAACGGGAATATCTCGAAAACTTTGTATAAACGGGTATATATGTTTTGATTGATTTAGATAGAAGGCGTTGAAACGAATATTAAAAAAAAATCGAAATCGGTCCACTGGTTTTGAAGATATTTGCGGAAAACGATTTAAAAATGAATCGTTTTTTCTCAAAAACTATTGACTCGATCAGGCTGAAATTTTGTACAGAGCTAGTCCTCATTAGGACCTATAATCTGACGTTTCCGATTTTTTGAAATTACTTTAGCCACTGAATTACTCAATTTTCTAAAAATTGTCCACCGGGAAGGTGGCAGTAGACGTGATCACGTACAGAGATGGTCGCTAAACTCCGTATTTTTACGTTTCAGACCATTCCACAGAATTTCCAATCGAAATTAGAGAATGTGAAAATTGAAGGATTGCAATGTTTCCATTCGGAAGCAAAAAGGGCACTTTTTGTAAGAATTGTGGGTAAAAAAACCGCCTTTTTCTCGCCAGTATCATAAAATATTGTACGATACATATCATCGCCCTATAGACAAAGGGGCGTAAGTGCCATAATTTCGTTTTTTTTTTTCTTCGAAGCCAAAGGAGCGTATGTTTTATATCGCGAAATTGAATTTACCGATTTTTTTCAATGTTTTTCACCCAGGTTTAGGCATCTGTCGATAACCGCAGTTTATTCCACGATATTGCAAAAAAAAACGTAAAAAAACCAACAGGAGTTACCTTTTATCGTAAACCGTGAAGCTTCGCGAAGATTATACCTCGCGAGGGTGATAAAAGTCACGAGGCTCATAGATCGCCAGGATCGTACGTCTCGAGGGTCACACCTCGTAAGGGTCATACCGTGTAAGGGATGAATTTTACAAGGGTCAATCTCATTATTTATTGATCTCTATTGAATTCGTCGCGTCATCATCTTTTGTCTTGACATTAACTTGTTTCATTCAACATTCTTAAATGTCAAAATTAATTCAATTGTCTTTGGTAGGTTTTTTGAACTCTTCAGAACAAAATAGTTCTTTTCAGGTGCAACTGGGCTTTTCCGGGGTTCCAAATAATAAAGTGGAGAATCCAATAAAGCTCGATAAATAATGAGATTGACTTCCTCACAATGAAAATGACTTGTGACTTTGGTCTTTTGCAATGTTTGACCCTCGTGAAATTTACTCTTTATGAGGTGTGAGGCTCATGTTTTTGAGTGTCTTAAAATGCCGCGAATCGTACCAAGTGATGTAAAACAATATTTTATGACTCAAGTCCCGAGAACCGTGTTCTAACCAAATAAAGTGAAGTTAAAATTCGCGGTTTATCTGTCCTCGGGATATAATATACTATTTTTTATGATATTCATGTGTCTAATACTGCGTCTTCGTCAGTCGGAATAAAATAAAACATTCTAGTAACCGAAAATTGCAAGCATTTCGAAGTAATGTGTTGTGCCCCAAAATAATGTGGTAATGTTAAGTAATAATTTATTTACAAAAGTGAAGAAGTAGAACGATGAACTGAGTTCAACTTACGTTACGCATTGTTTCACTAAATCAGCGTTCATGTGCAACACTAATTATTATATAAGCTGGACTCACGAATATTCGGGAGTTCAGTCGTTAACGTAAATCAAGCTTAATACCTATTTTGTATCATCTTGTAATTTCTACATAATCGTCCCGTCTGGATAATTATGAGTTAGTTTAAATAAATAAAACACCTCTTTTTCTACCAAGTAAAATACCGGATTCCAGTATTTACCCACTATAGGGAGATTCATCTCAAAATAGCAGAACCCAGGGAATCATCCCTAACAAATGTAAAAAAACCCGGCGAGGTAATTTACGTAAATGTCGTTGGTAAAAATTTGGAAACTGTAATTTACCAACGTAATCTACACGCCCAACCCTGATTGTCACGATTGAAGTCTAATCAGACTCGCCTGAGAATGACTCGATTGGAGAAACACGATTTTGAAAAAATAAATGCTTCTCTCAAGCAAATGAATATTTGGCAAAAAAAATTTTTTCTCAATGTAGCATCCGAGAGGCCGATCTGTTATTTCGGCCTCTCGAGAAGTTGATTCGGGGCAACCAATAGGAATAATGGAATGTGAGGAAATAAAAAGGCGGGAGACGAAAAGATAGACGATAATGTTTGATAAAATTAATGTATTTCTTTCTTTAAATTTTTTCATTAAAAACCTAGATGCTGGAATGCGAATCATCTACATGGTGTGACAGATATAATATATATATTTATATATATATTTATATATTCTTTTATATGTAAAACTACTTACAATATCTCCGTACATAACTACTCATTTTTTGTATTTTTGTTTTCCAAAGAGTCAGTGATTTAACGCAATGTAACGTGTTATTAAATATTAATGTGTGGGTATAATTAATTGATTTTGGATCAGTTGGAAAGGGAATAAACGGATTAAGTCAAAGGTTGTAAGAATCTGTCTGAACACATTTCACAGAAGAATAGTACGTTTTTTGGGATAAAATTCAGCCATTTCATCAACAATTCATTGAAGTATCAACATTTCTTGAAAATATTAATTTGGTCTGCTCTCTGTTTCGAGGAAAATGTCAATTTTTTCTGCGGCTCATAAACATTTCTGTAGAAGAGGTCACATATTCTTCCTCTAACTCTCCTCCATCCAGAGATATTTACGAAATACTCGATAGAATTATTGTTTCTGCAGTAAGTTGAGATGAAAAATTCAAGACATTTTTTAAAGATTACTATATTTTCTGTAAAAAGGTCTTCATATTTCTCGTTAAACCACTTACTCATGAATCCATTCACGAAATGAGAAAATTTGTTTCCGATTCGTCTTCTTCTACTACATCTTCTGCATTTACTTTGACATCGAGTGATTTTAGATGAAAATTGCAAGACACCTTTTTTGAAACTGACAAAATTCCTTAATAAAAGATGATGACATTGATCCCTAGACCCACTTCATACCAAAATAATTGAAATTAGAAATTGACTTCAACCATTTCATCATTTCCGCTCTGACCGCATAGGAAGAAAAATGAAACGAAGATGAAAATACCAGTCTGTTAGAATACCAAACGTCACACATCTCACAACTCTCTATTAACGGAAAGGACATTTTTTACTTGAATAAAAAAATTAATAACCCATTGAATTGTTGATGCAACGAAATAATATTGCCCATTTGTCATGCAATGAAATAATTTTACTCATTTGTAATGAGTCTGGACTGAATTCAATTGCCGAATTTAGTTGTGACTTATGAATATTCCTCTACATCGATCTTGACATCGAGTGATTTTAGAAGAAAATTCCAAGGCGCCTTTTTTGAAGCGGACAAAACTCCTAAAAAATGTCTCGACATAAATAATATGTCTTGTCTGGAATAATTGAAGAAATTCCATTGACTTCAACCATTCTATCACTTCCACTATGACCCCATAGGAAGAAAAATGAAACGAGGATGAAAATACCAGACTGCTCTGCATGCACAAATGTCACGCATTTCACATCTCTCTATCAACTGAGTGAACATTTTTGACTCTTTCAAGAATTTATATAAATTAAATTTATATAACTTATTGAATTGTTGATGGACTGAAATTCTTCTGTCTCTCATGGAAAATACATTCCAATTGCAATGAATTGTAATGATTGTTTTTCCCATTTGTAATGAGTCCGGACTGAATCCAATTACCGAATTTGTTTGTGACTTATAAATATTCTTCTACAATTTACCTGGACATCGAGTGATTTTCGAAGAAAATTTCAAGACATCTTTTCTGAAACTGGCAAAATCCCTAAAAAAATGTCTTGACATTTACTCTTAGAACCACTTCATACCAAAATAATTGAAAAAATTCTATTGACTTCAACCGTTTCATCACTCCCGCCCTGACCCCACAGGAAGAAAAATGAAACGAGGATGACAATACCAGACTGCTCTGCATGCACAAACGTCACGCATTTCACATCTCTCTATCAACTGAATGAACATTTTTTACTCTTTCAAAAATTTATATAAATTAAATGTATATATAACTTATTGAATTGTTGATGGACTGAAATTCTTCTGTCTCTCATGGAAAATACATTCCAATTGCAATGAATTGTAATGATTGTTTTTCCCATTTGTAATGAGTTCGGACTGAATCTAATTACTGAATTCGTTTGTGACTTATAAATATTCTTCTGCAATTTACCTTGACATCGAGTGATTTTCGAAGAAAATTTCAAGACACCTTTTCTGAAACTGGCAAAATCCCTAAAAAAATGTCTTGACATTTACTCTTAGAACCACTTCATACCAAAATAATTGAAAAAATTCTATTGACTTCAACCGTTTCATCACTCCCGCCCTGACCCCACAGGAAGAAAAATGAAACGAGGATGACAATACCAGACTGCTCTGCATACACAAACGTCACGCACTTCACATCTCTCTATGAACCGATATCCATTGATTTTCCACATAGTTTTTCAAATATCTCGCTCTACTTTTGATAAAATCGAATTATTTACAAAATGTACAGACCAAACATCATTTTTGTTCCAATAACCTCTCACCAGTATCAGAATATTCCAGATTAGTCCAAATCTGTTCTCCTCCCAAGAATTTTTCTTATTTCCCTCATTTTTCTTATATAAACTATCTACATAAACTTTTAACCTTGTGTTCTGCCCTCACTTCAAGCTATAAAATCATTCATAGTCATCACCAATGAATCCACAAACTCATCTTTGAGAGTTGTCCATAGATCATTCATGTACAGTGCAACAAGAATAATTACCATCGACACTGAAGATTATGTTGTTCCTGTTGTTAACTACTGTACATATTTATCTCTCCCCGTCTAATCGTAATTTTTGATACTTTTATCAGTCAAAAAATGCAAAAGACCAGATGATCTGCTCTTCCTACCCACAATTTTCAAACTAAAAGAAGAAAAACATATCGAAGCACAAAAATTCGTGAAAAATACGATTGATCGGCAAGTGGGATCAAGACAATTGTCCCTGGAGTCATCCAAGACATAAATTAAAACCATATATTAATAAATTATATTTCATATAAATATTTCCAAAGGGACGTAGTCTTGGTCCCGCGATGCACTGAAAAATAATCCCTCCACTGGACAATCATCTCAACCCCATCCTCTTCTATACGAAAATAGAAAAGAAAGCTTTTTCACACTTCGTCCCTAATCATTCATCCCTACACTCAAACGTGTTATTTTGATACTGCAACTGTAATCACTGGGAAAGCCTTAATCGTCCAAGCAACAAATATAATTGAATAAGCATAATCAGACGATAATGAAACCAAAAAACCGGGAAATAATTTGAAAAATCTGCTAAACCTCACTTACAAATCCCTAACAATAAATCATAACTAAATAATTTAACTGGATTCTACCTCCAACCGAAGAAAAAAAATGATCAATGACTCGCATGTAGAATATTTACAATGCACTATGAGTAATAGCTAAACGAAAAAATTCTCACAAAGTAAAAAAAAAGAAAGATGAATCAAGTGAACGAGTGACTGAACTAATTTCATACACAGTAAAATAAAACGAATTAATCGAACCAATTCACGTTGCACCACTGGCATCACCGAGTCTGTCAGTGCAGGGTCTCTTGGAGTTGTCCTTGTGTGCTTGCCCAGTGGAGGTTGACAATTTTCTCTTGTGTCCAGAGGAAGACCTGCTGGAAGATCTGCTGTGATGTGACTTGCCCTCATCACTGCGTCGATGGGAGGATGAGCTGGAGCCCTTGGGCCTGTCCTTGCTGTGACTCCTGGACGAAGACTCCTTGTGTTTGTCTGACCTCCTGTCACCCTTGCTCGAGTACCCAGAGGTGGATTTACTCGATGAACGATGGGATTTCGAGGAGCTCTCCTTGTGATTCGATCTCTTGTGATCTCTCTCTCTCCTATCACGATCCCTCCTCTCCTTGTGCCTCTCCTCCCAGTCCTTCTTATCCCTGCTGTCCTTGGAGGAACTCGAGGGCGATATTATCCTCTCCTCCTTCTTCCTCTCGCATTTTTCCTCTGGATTTCCAGCAGCATTTTCCTGAATATTGACTTCTGCCACAGGATGTTTCCCCTCAGGACTTGTCCCACTCTTGGGGAAAATGAAATTGGGACCTTCTGTCCATGGAGATGACTCTGGTGACTCCGGCTCAGGTGGTGGAGTAGTCGGTGGCGGTGGAGGAGGAAGTGGTGGTGGTGAGAGAAGGGGCAAGGGAGGTAGTGCCTTTCCCGAAGGATCCTCCTGCACCTCCATCTTCCCTCGCTCTCTCGCCTCCTCCTCAGCCATCTCCACAAGGGCCTTAACAGCATTCTCAGTAGCCAGCTCCATCTCCGACATGAAAGCCACCACAGTTTCATTCTGCAGGAGCTTAAAATAGTTCTCACATCGACTCGAGTCGTCCTCAAAGCGCTTAACCGCCAATTCCCGACACTCTCTCTCAATTTTCTCGACAACTTCCTTCGATGCTTCAGAGACCCCCAGCCTGAGTGACTGGCAGACCTCATCGACATCTGTTTTTGATTTATAAATGGCTATTTCGAGGGCCTTATCCACCACCTCAGTAGCATAAATCTTCCCCACTGATTGTCTGACCTCCACCAGGTCGTTATCAAGTGTCATGGGAACCGCAGGCTCTGCTGGAGGCTCAGGCACCTGGCACTCCTGCTGCTCCTGAATGACCTGAGGGAGTGGCTCCCCCACAGCATCCCCTCCTCCCTTCTCCTCCTCCTTCGCCCCAGAGCTGTGCCTCCTCTCCTCCCCATGTTTCTTCTTCTCCGACCGACTGGATGTCGACGAGCGTCTCTCAGACTTTCTGTGCTTGTCATCGTGCTTCTTCCCACTGTCAGATCGCCTCCTCTCCCCGTCACTCCTCTTGCTCTCCTTCAACGTCACCCCCTCATCCCTCGACTCCTTCCTCTTGATATCCCCCCTGACATGCTCCCTGCTCTTGTGCTCCTCCTTGCTCCTCTTCCTCGCATGCTGAGGATCGGACTTCTTGAGATTCCCCTGATACTCAGCAGCCCTCTCCTTGGCCTTCTTCTCAGCCATGTGCTGCCTGTCAGCATTCTCCTTCTGCTCGTCCTTCAATTCCTTGAACTTTATGGTATTCTCAGGTATCGATCGATTGTGCCTGATGCTGCCATGCACCACTGGGTCAGGATAGTACTGCTTGAGCCTCACGTGCCATGCCACCGACGAAACAGCTGATATCGTCCGAAACTGATGGATAATATTCCTGGGCAAAAAGTAAATGTCATTGTCGTAGAGATTGACCTTGGCATAACGAATGCCCTGTCTCCTCAGTTGATTCAGCTTGGCATCCTCGATCCACTGGACACACTGGGATATCGGTGGCTCGTGGAGATCCAGCTGGAGCTTCTCCACGAGATCCGGAAAATCCCCAGCGTAAAACGCCACAACGTCCTTGGTTATCCTGTTGTACTCGTAGGGCTGCCCGCCGTGGATGGCCTTCAGCACCCCCACAGCTGCTGTCGTCATTCTGTCGAGACCGTGGCCCACGTGGTCTGCATGGGCACGTGTGCGATCCTCAAACATGTACTCTCGAGCCTCTGACAGACGTGGAAGGTACTGGAGATTCCTCAGCTCGTTTATCCCCGTTCTTCGACGTTTGCAGGGGCTCTTGTTCATGTCTGCTGTGGGCACCAGCTGTTCACCAGGTCGTATCCACAGGATTGGGCCGTCGTTGGACTCCTGAGGGGTCTCCATCTGCACCACTGACAAAGGCCCCCAGGGCATCGTCAGCTTCAGGAATGGGTCCTCCTCAAGTCGCTGGAGGAGGTCTGGAAAGTAGCCCCCCACCTCCTCGTGAACTGTGCCAACGAGGCTTATCTGGTGAAGAGGGCCATACCTGACTGTTCCATTGTTGTAAGCCTTGTAGACTTGCTCTTTGTACTGCAGCATCGTCGTTGTCTCGATGTCACTGTTCCTCCCCAGGACTCCATTCTTCACGGTTAGAGTTGGGTAATGACTCGCCATGTGGTCCAGCAGGTCTGGCAGATAGGCTGCTGCATTGTGAACAATTCCCATGACGTTGTAAGCATTTCCATTCTCGTCCTCACCGAAGACTACTTTGAAGAACTCATGGGCGAGCTCGTCGATCTCCTCTTTGGGGAGAATGTCAATCTCGTCCTGGTACATGTGGACAACAGTTGCTCCACCGTTTGGGTAGGTCTCGATGTGGATGAACCTTCGGTACTTCAGGCCCTCGAGTTGATCGGATTTGATTATGGATTTGTTGAGGGTCTTGCTGGCTTTAGTCTGCAGGTTTATCCGGAGGTTCTCGTCTGCTGCGGACAGGGGAGTTGGGAATTTGTGGTCCTTCAGGGAGGCCTTCAGGGAGTGGCTACTGCTCTTGTCTCTTCTGCACTGGACTCCTATGCTCGCTCGTTTTATCTTGCTTCGTTTGTAGCAACGAGAGCAACGGTGTCTGTCACTGTGGTCTCTGCTGGCTTTTTCGGTGGTCATTGTGGAGGAGGTTGACGTCGTTGATGAGGATGATGAGTGGATTCTCGATAGCTCCTGGGGGGGCTTCGTCAGGGTGGAGGTTGGCAGGTGGACAACCAACTCCTCAGGTCTGTCTGGGGGCTCCTGCTTTATCATCTTCGTCTTTTCGTCCTCGTCTGGCTTAACTTGGACCTCTGGCTCTCGTTTTATCGTCTCTGATGTGTTGTACTTGGCTGTGTCCATGGAAACATCAACGTTTGATGGGGGAAATGGGGGATTGGAGGTGTTGTGGCGATCGGTTGACACTCTGGGTGGGTAATCTGGGCTTCGTGGACTCGTTATAATGTCATTGCTTGTTTGTGGGCTCTCACCCAACTGTGGCGTTTTACTCGACACATTGCCGCACTCGTCCAACTTAACCGGTACTATCTTGCCGTCGAGGGCTGGATCGATGCCAAATGTTATAGGGTTAGCCTGAAAAACAGGGAAATTGCGTTAGACATTTATAGATCATTTTTTGCGGCAATTGGGTAATTAATCAATTGAGTTTGATGGGTTTCTTACGTTTTGAGAAGTTGAGAAGACCTCGGGGAGGTGATCCACTGGTGATTTCGTGGCGGAGGTGTCTGAAAAAAATATTCAATTGGAGACTGACCAGGTTTATTATGTAAAGACGATGGATACCAGAATTTTCGGTTTTTTTGGGAGGTAAATGGGGATTGCAAGACTGCAATGTTGAGGGATAACAGACAGCGAACGATTTTTCAATGTTTTGAAATAAATTTTTTCTTTGGAAGTTATGAATATTTTTCAAAATCACCACACAGTGATCTATACCATCACGTTCTGGAGGTCAATGTGCTTCATTTTTTTTAATATCCTGGAGGAAGTGATGCACTGGAAATTTCATGTCATTATTTGTTAATTTGTTCATTTAATTGGTGTTTAATGGACCAACAGTCGAAGTCAATAATAGGTAGTGAAAAAGAATAGACAAGCGTAATACAAATTAATTTATTTATTTATTAACTAATTATAATTGTTTGGATGGGGATTTCAATCAGAGACTGCTAAGGTTTATTATGTGAAGACGATTGACACCAGAATTCTTATTTTTTGGGAGGTAAATGAAGCATTGTAAGACTACGATGTTTAGGGAGCACACAGCCAACGATTCTTAAAATTTTTGAAATAAATTTCTTATTAAAAGTTCCTAATATTTTTCAAAATCAAAACACATTGATCTTTAGCATCACTTTATGAAGATCAACTTGTTTCATTCTTTAAAAATATCCGCGATGAAGTGATGCACTGGAAATTTCATATCATGTTTTGTAAATTTATTTATTTAATTGGTGCATAAAGGATCAATAGTAACGCAAATTAGTTTAATTAATTACAATTGTGTGAATGGAATTTTCATTTGGGGACTGACAAAGGTTTATTATGTAAACTTTACGTAAACACTGTAAAGACGATAGATACGAGATTTTCATTGTATTTTAAGAAGTAAATGAGGAATTTTAAAACTACAATATTGAAGGCTAACAGATAGTCATCGATTCTTAAAAATTGTTGAACAATTTTTTATTAAAAGCTATCAATATGTTTAAAATCAAAGCATTGATTTTTATCATCACCTTCTAGAGGGCAAAGTACTTCAGTTTTGGAAAATGTCCTCGAGGAGGTGATGCAACTAAACATTTCCTGTCAGAGTTGTCTATAAAAATATTTAATTGAAAATTGACGAGGTTTATCACGTGAAAACAATGAATACCAGAATGTTATTGTTTTTTAAGAGGGAAATGAGTGATTCCAGATTCTTCAAAATTTCCAAATAAATTTCCTGTGTGAAAGCTATCAATATTTTTGAAAATCAAAGCACATTGATCTTTATCATCACCTTCTAGAGGTCATTGTGCTCCAGTTTTGAAAAACTTCCTCGAGAAGGTGATTCGCTAGAGATTTCAAGTCAGAGTTGTCTAAAAAAAATATTTAATTGAAAACTGACAAAGTTTATCACGTGAAGCAGGGTTAGGGTTCTTTAAAAACCCTAACCAAATTTTCTGTTTGAAAGCTATCAATTATTTCAAAATCAAAGAGATCAATGTGCTTCATTTCTAAAAAAAACGTTGACGACTTTTGACGTGAAATTTGCTAAAAAAAATTACAGCAATAAGCAACCTTCTGCTACTCCTCAAAATTTAATCTTAGAATCTAATCAGATAAAGGTAAGGGACGACAAACAGAAATGTAAATACCCCAGTGTATGTTACTACCACCAGTCTAATAAATAAACGATATCCAAGATTAAAACCCTCTAAGTAAATTTTTTAAAAATGGGAATTGGCATGGAATTGACCCCAAAACATTCATTGCAACAATCAATGTACATTGATCCCATCGCCTTCTAGAGATCAATGTGCTTTATTTCTAAAAATCGTCGATACCGTTTGACGTGAAATTTTCTAAAAAATTATAGCAACAGGCAACCTTCTGTTACTCTTCAAAATATAATATTAGAAACCACTCAGGCAAAGCTAAGGGACGGCAAACAAACATGTAAATACCCCAGTGTAAGTTACCACCACCAATCCAGTAAATAAACCAGATCCAAGATTACAAACCTCTAAATAAATTTAAAAAATGGGCATTGTCAGAGAGTTGACAATTTTCTGTTTTAAAGCTATCAATATTTTTCAAAATCAAGGTACATTGGTCTTTCCCATCACCGAGAGGTCAATGTGCTTCATTTCTAAAACACGTCGATGACTTTTCAGGTGAAATTTGCTACAAAATTATGGCATTCAGCAACCTTCTGTTCCTCCTCAAAATGGAACATTAGAACCTAGTCAGGCAAAGCTAAGGGACGACGAACAAAATGTAAATACCCCAGTATAAGTTACCGCCACCAATACAGTAAATAAACCATACCGAAGATTACAACCCTCTAAATACTTTTAAAAAATCTGGTATTATCATGAAATTGACCCCAAAACAATGAACAAATGAATAATTTACCCTCTCGAGGAAGACAGGGGGACATTTCCGCGTCGTTGCAGGCACTTCCAGGCATGTCGCATGATTCTGAAAGACCAGTCTGCAAACACTTACTGACATCACACGATTCCATCATGCTGATTATTGTGTTATTGACAACAGTGTCATCCGCATTTCCATCATCACTTGACACTGATGTTTCGGTTAAAACAATGTTTCTCGGTGACGCTGATGGTAAAACCGTGGGCGTCCCGCTGGGCGTCTTTATCGCATCACTTTTTGGGGTATTGTTGGAATTTCCAGGGGTTTCAGTGTCTGTCAGTTGTTCATTTACACGAGTTGGTTCATTGTTGCGGGAATTGTTAGTGGGATAGGGCACTGGGAGACTGTTTAACTCACTATTGACATTGTATTCCTTGTCTGACACGGTGATAGTATTCTCCTCGGATGCCATCTTGATTCTTTAGCCCTCCAGCGCTCCCCCGGCCCCTCTCGACGTTCTTGTGGCCCGTGACCCAACTATTTCCCATTTCCGTGGAGATTGTCTTGTGGAGCAGCTATCCTATTGGGGGAATCGACGCCATTTCTCGGCGATAGGAGAATTCTATTGGCCCTGGCATGCGTGCACGAGAATTACGGAGAATGCATGCTTTTTTGGTTTTATTTTTTTTTATTTGTAATAAATGTAATAGTTACTTCTCTCGGTTTTCTTTTGAATAGTGAGGTATGTGGAAATTGGTTTCAGTCTTCTGTTTGCCTGGTTCCGTTGGGGAGATGGAAATTTATGCGTGGAGGGGGGGGAATGTGTGGGTTTTTTAAAATGCTTATCTCGTCACTTGTGGGGAAAGTGAAATTTTATGGACGCTCTGCGGCCGCACAATATAGGGGAGGTTGAGGTAAAACGGACACTTTTGACTTTTTTTAAAATGTTAATAAGGGATTGAAATGTTGAAAAAATTCAATAATTCTTTTTCAACACAAAGAACAATTCTTTCCCTTTGTGACGAGCCTAAACTGAGCTCAATTGATCAATTTTTTCTGAGTTATGAATATTTAAAAAAAAGTCTGAAGTGTCCGTTCTACCCCACCCTCCTCTACTTTTCATGCATTGTGATGAAAAATATCGTTCAATACTCACGAGAAAAGTGTCGCCTTCGGCTCATGCTATAAACCTTGCACGCGCCAAAAAAACACTTTCCGCACTCGTGTCGAAATTTACTATTTCGGCCTTGAGACAAAAATAGCTATTTTGTCATTCCGGCCGTAAGGCAGGACTGGGCTTGTACATTATCTCGACGGGGTTTTTACATTTTTTACATTACTTCGAAAAACTTGCAATTTTCGGTTACTAGAATGTTTCATGTTATTCCGACTGACGAAGACGCAGTATTAGACACATAAATGTCATAAAAAATAGTATATTATATCCCAAGGACAGATAAACCGCAAATTTTAACTTCACTTTGTTCGGTTAGAACGCGATTCTCGGGACTTGGGACATAAAATATTATTTTCATCACGCTGTGCGAAAAAGTAACTTTTTAGGCATGCTTCGCGTGCCTAAAACGTCCCTTTTCCACACATTGTGATGAAAAATATCGTTCGATACTCGTGGGAAAAGTGTTTTTTGACTCGTGAGATTATATCACTCGCCTTCGGCTGGTGCTATAAACCTGCCACGAGCCAAAAAACTCTTTTTCATCACGCTGTGACGAAAAGTGAACTTTTCGGCACGCTCCGCGTGCCTAAAAGTCCAATTTCCGCCACATTGTGATGAAAAATATCGTTCGATACTCGTGGGAAAAGTGTTTTTTGACTCGTGAGATTATATCACTCGCCTTCGGCTCGTGATATAAACCTCCCACTCGCCAAAAAACACTTTTTTGCACTCGTTACAAAATATACTATTCCGCATTCGTAATGAAATATACTATTACATCACGTGGTACGATTCGCGGCATTTTAAAAATCTCAAAAACATGAGCCTCATACCTCATAAAGAGTAAATTTCACGAGGGTTAAACGCTGCAAAAGACCAAAGTCACATATCATTTCCATTGTGAAAAAGTCAATCTCATTATTTATCGAGCTTTATTGGATTCTCCACTTTATCATTTGGAATCCCGGAAAAGCCCAGCTGGACTTGAAAATAACTATTTTGTTCTGAAGAGTTCAAAAAATCTACCAAACACAATTGAATTAATTTTAGCATTTAAGAATGCTGAATGAAACAAGTTAATGTCAAGACAAAAGATGATGACGCGACGAATTCAATAGAGATCAATAAATAATGAGATTGACCCTTGTAAAATTCATCCCTTACACGGTATGACCCTTACGAGGTATGAACCTCGTGACTTTTATTACCATCGCGAGGTATAATCTTCGCGAAGCTTCACGGTTTACGATAAAAGGTAACGTCGACCTGTTTTTTCCATTTTTTACATTTATTACGTAAATTAACGGGTAATGGGTAACGAGTTTTTTACAATGTCATGTAAAAAACTGCGGTTATCGACAGATGCCCATTGTTGCCTGCAGCCATTATGACAAAGAATATTGTTCGTCACACGACATAATAGTATATTACGTGCTAAGGCGGAGAAGTGCTGAATTCAACGCTGGTGGAGTACAGGCGCACGAGGCACGTGAGTCGGAGACGAGGCCGCCTTCGGCGGCCCCCCCCACTGAAGAAAAAACAAATTGCAAAAGAAAAAAAAAATCAAATGCATTTAAATTTCCCCGCCACAGCCGGGGAACAACAACTCCAAGAGAAGCCAACAAATCACCATCATCTCTCTGTAATCGCATTCCCCAACCTGTGATCAACGACATCTCACCAATTCCACTTCATGATGTCTCACCAGATCCTGCTCCAAATCTACAGTTGAATCAACTTCTACGTTCCCATCCAAATATCAATCTCAATTTTTACAATTGCTCAAATTTTAAAGTATTTGATAAAGAAAATAAGGAAAATAAGTGAATCTCGAGATCTTAGTTGAGATAGATGGGCATAACTGATTGTTTTGTTAGATTTTATTATTTAAACTATGAGTATTATTCTTGCGTTTACGTTGTAGTTTATTTCA